CAGACTGTAACAGACAGGGGGGAAGAAGAGTGAATAAAAAAAAAAAAAAAAAAAAAAAAAATGAAAATGAAAATGAAAAGAAAAAAGTTGTCTGAAGCTCACCGAGGTTTTCAGCAAAGCCTCGTCTTCTTCAGCTGCTCTAGCTGCAGCTTCGGCCTCAGCAGCTCTGGAGGACCCTTCTCCTCCTTCGCAAGCCTCAAGTACCCGTGCAACCTCTTCGGCTGTGCGGGCAGCTTCAGCTTCTTCGTTCAGCAGCTGAAACCAAGGGTCTCTCTTCTTCCACCAAGGCTTCTGCTTCTGATACAGAGCAACAGCCTCAATTTGGAAGTGGGAAGAATCCAGATGAACTTCCCTATGCCTCGGCTCAGTGATAGACGGGGCCCGTTCAGTTACAACTCGCTCTCGGTTAACACCAAGACGAGCGTAGTTAATACCAACGTTGGTCTCGTCCCGCTCTGAAAAAAGGGAAAGGGAAAAAGTTTAGCTCAGATATGTTGGCACAGCATAAAAAAGCAAAGCGAGAGAAGAAAAAGAGGTAGTTAAAAGCCTCGGCCCCAGCCGAAGAAGCTTACCATCCTTAAACTTTCGGCTGAGGCCAACAGCTGCTAGCATATTCTCTTGGAAAACGTAATGCGTATCGGGGAGCCAAGTCTCCGGGATATGCTGCATTCGACCACTCCCCCCCGGGTTCGGCAGCTTGCCGAAGATATGTTGCTGATCCAGGTTCGGATCCGCCCCGTTATCTGCGGGGGGACCTAGACTTCCCATTTCGGGATCAGGCTCAGCTAAGTACCGGGGAGCGCTGAAGACGCAAGGGTGGCCCGGATCTATGGGTGCCCTAACCCAAATCCATTGACCTCTCCAGTCCTTGTCTGAAGAGTCATTTGGCCACATGGTCAAGTATTGGGGCCGGGACTCAATCCGATACCACCCAGAACCATGGCTTCCGTGCCCACTCTGAATATTTGGCACTAGCCGATGGAGCTTTCTGAAGCAGTGCAGGTTCGGCACGTATTTGAAGAACTTGCAGACCCATAAGTATGTCATCACCCTTCGGATGCTGGTGGGGGTTAGCTGACATAGGGAAATGTTGTAATGGATCAGCAAGTCTCGGACGAAAACGTCCAAAGGGAACCTCAGCCCATACTGAAGCTGTCTCGTGTACACCCCCACATACCCCGGGGGTGGACGATGGATTCTATCGGATGCTGAGGGCATTCGGCACCAATATCCATCAGCTTCAAAAATGCCGTAGTGCAACTCAATTTGCTCAGCAAATCGATATTGATCGGCGTTCTCTACCCACCATGAGTAGGGGCGGTTCTTTATCATGGCCGAAGCGACTTCGGCATTCTCCCACTCTGAAAACCCAGGGAGGATATCCCAAAGGACAGCGGGAATTTCATCGTCCCGTCCAGAAGCACTCGGCTCATCCGTTCTTTGAGGAGGAGCCGAGGAAAGGGGAGTCGCCCTAATCCCTTCAGCAGGGTCAGACTCCGGCCTTTGACCATTCCAGGTCCCAATCCTATTCCTAGGATCGGGAATCGGCCTTGCTCTTCTTGGAGCACGGGCTCTACCTCTAACTCCTCTTGCCATGGATTATTTCGAAGAGAAAAGTCGAAAGAAAAGGGGAAGGAGTTCGAATTCGAAGAAAAATAAACTGAAATCAAAGGAATTTACCTTAATCTGAAGCGAAAGTTGCCGATTTACGAGTTCGTAGTGGCAAGTCTCAGTTTCTAAGCTCAATGCTCGGGGGAATTTGCGAAGTTTTGATGCGGGTTCTTGGTTTCTCTCTCGAAGAATTCTGGGTTTGTGTTGGTGAATAAGTGAGGAGAATGACGCGCCTCTGTTTATATCTCCAGGTACGGGATACGAAGAGTCTGTGCTTTAATTTCTCTTAAGTACCCACTAAGTAACCATTAAACACATGTCTTGTGATTAAACTGCCCATTATCCGTCCAACTTCCGCAAATCATTAACCGTTGTTATCTCATTAATTACGGTTTAAATTCAAATTTTTGGATCAATTAAATCATTTACTTCCCTCCTTTTCTGAGTTAAATCAAACCCGACCCGTCATTCTTCCAAATCGGGTCTGGGGGGCAAGTTGTTTGGGTCCAATTTAGTCAAAGTTGGGTCTGAGCACTAAATGATCCAATTAAAAGCCCAAGGTCAAGGTTCAACTCTCCAATTGCTCAAAAGTCAAAAGTCAGCCCACAAAGTAAGCCAATTGGGCTAAAGCCCAACCTCTCCAAGTATGATGAGGTATAAAAGCCATCATATTAACACATTCAAAGGGACATCACATATGATCATTGACATTCCAATTCATATGCTCATTCTTGCATTCAGAAATATTCCACAAAAGCCTCAAGCTACAAACTCTCTTGCATAGTGTCTTCCTTCTACACATTGTACTGACTTTAGCATCGGAGGGGCCTTCCTCGGAAACACCCCCGAGGCTAGTTTACGTGTGTTCACTGTGCAGGAAACCTTCGGCCCAACACAACTTGGATCGAATCCAGTCTTCTCCATTTCAGTGGACCTTCGGCAAGGTCCCATTGTTTTCAACCGAAACAGTTATCATCTCTCACATTTTACCATCTACAAGCAAATAATAAACAACAAGTTGATCAATGCTCATTCATCATCCCAACAGATTATTTTGAATTTAAGTCCGACTTATACAAGATTTTGCTAATTGCAAATAAATTTCCAGAAATTAGCCATGGAAAGCATTAGATAACAACCATTGTATAACAACATTTGATACAGATGACATTATGAATCACCTAAGTTAATATAATCAACTCTGATTATGGATAAACGAAGCGATCCGTCGACGAATAGCAACAGCCTCAAGATCCATATGATCAGAGTAATGAAAACAATGCTCCTTATCTTTGTTCTCCATAATCTCCACCTTCCCTTTCCACCCACTCTTGATCAATTCATCGGCGTACATCTTTCCGACACCGTATAATCCATCCTTCTCAGCCAGCAACACAAACACCCTTTCACACCCGATTCGAGCTAGATCCTCTACAGCAGGTTTCATCCTAGGATCTCTAGGACCTAAATTTGTAGGACACATGAACATCCACATTTTATCATCTTCTCCTAAATAAGGATGAATTAATATCATCCCTTCAACCTTTGCATCCCCTGGTAGTCCTATCGATCCTACCTTAGCTAATAATGTGTGACATATGTTTCCTCCTGCTGAATCTCCGCTGACTAAGATACGGCGGAGATCAGCGTGATCTTTGATCCATGGTTCGGGTCCTGAGCCTTTACTGTGGGACGCCACCCACTGGAGTGCAGCCCAGGAATCTTCGTAACACGCGGGGATAGGGCGTGTAGGGAAGAGTCCGTAATCAACTGAGACAACCATGGCGTTGGCTTCTGCAGCGATCTGGGAGCCAAATCGCGTGTACTCCTCCGAGAAGGCGGATTGCATGCAGAAGCCACCGCCATGGATGTATAACACGACAGGGAGTTTGTGTGTGATGCACGCGTTGGTGGAGGTGTAAGATGAAGGGAGGAAGATTCTGACAGAGACATCAGCTGAGATTTGAACGTCTTTGATTACGGCGCCGGCTGTTGAGCCGAAGGAAGGAGGGACTTTGACTTTGTGAGAAGGGGACATAAGACATGGATACGACCGTCTTTCAGAACATTGAAGAAGAGAAACTTTTGGGCAATGTCTGATTCAGAGTAGTTCCAATCAGGTTCAGATTCGAATGTGTTGATGTTAGAAGACATGATTTGTCTGCTAGAAAAGTGGTTGTTTTGGGTGATTTTAGCGAGGAAAGAAAATTTGTGTAAAATTGGGGATACAATTAAAGGGGTAGAATGAATTGTTGGTTTTTTAGGGGAAATGAGGAATGTATGATTGTTTGATTTTTTTGTTATGACTGTTGATAATCGTGGACCTTTTCTTATCCAGACATGGTTGCTGAAATTTCTAGATGTCGACGAGGCGACAGCAAATGCAGTATAGACCACATTAGACATTGTTACTGAAATTTCTAAATGTCGTGTCGACCTTAAATTGTGAAGTACGGTAGATGTTAATGAATTCGGGACGGCTACGATTAATGTCACATGTTTTTATTACACATCTGTTACTTTAAAGTCCTACCTATTCACATAAATCCTTGAATAATGAATTCCCTTTACACCCAATTATCAAAGAAATTGCTCAATGACTAGACTAGTATAGTTTATACTCCGTAGAAGATTAGACTAGTAAGTCCTTTTTTTCGGAGCATATCAGTGCTCGTGTATACACTGTTATAGGTGAAGGTGTAATGTAATTTTGTATGAACTATACCAGTGAATATGTATCATCTAAACCGAGCAGCTTCAGATAACAAAGGTTTTGACAGCATTACTGGCTTTGTTATCTGTGATCCACAAGTAGTGACAATCAAAACCGAGCACGAGGCTTCAGAACTGGAATAGATAACAGAAGCCGAACATGAGGCTTTAGACCTGGGATAGATAACAGAAGCAAATCTCCTCATCAACAGCTACTGGTTTACTGTTTATTTAATTCGGAGTACTTTTCTTCTTATTACATCTTAAAACTGACAGAAAGGTTCTTACCAAAACAAGCCATGATGATGCAATGGAAAAGGCTATCTATCCGATTTAGTGATAATGGCAGGAACTCAAACTCAGTTTCCAAATTAGCACCGTCTCTCTGCCTCTCTTTAAGGTGAAGAATAAGTCGATCCTGATTCCTGAATGAAAGAGGTCAATTTACATGCATCCTCACAATGCCACATTCAGTCCTGCAGCAGTGCACCTGCACTTTTCTGATCTTCATCGAACTGTTTTTTCAACAGTTAGCTCCTTCATGCAAACATACCTGTTGCAGAAAACTTAAATACAATGGCATGTTCTACAACAATTAAAGCACCATTTGTGCAATGAATAAGTTAAGCAAGCATAATAATAATATTGGGAATCATTATTTAAAAATGAAGACATCATGCCACCAAGTCTGCAGTTGCTTAAATTATCAAAAATGTTAAAACTCAGAGTGTTTTAAATCAGTAGAGCTGAACATACATCTAATTCACCATCTCAATTTACATAAATACAGCTTTACATACACTAGACAATAGGAATACAGGTAACGAAAGTCTATCCTACACCCAGCAAAGTGCAAGCTTTGAGTCAATCACTGCTTCTCAACTGAATTAAATGACAATAAAATGTATACAATCCAGCATCAGTGAAAGTGAGAGTGCTAAGAACAGAGGGGCAACATCATATGTGCAAGCGGCTCTGGTTAAGAAAACCATCATTTTTCTTCTCTCGCATTTTCATTCTGCAAGTATTTCTGAACACCATATACAACTGTTCCAGCAACAAACAAGAACACTGTGGGAGTGAATGATGGGTACAGAAACTTTACAAGGAACTTATCCCACTCTTCTGGAAGAAATCCTGTTGATACAAAAGAAAAAAGGTCACTAACAGAAGAAGCAACAACTTTTGAGCCGACAAGACAGTATTGTGGCTAAGATTTTCTTAAAATGTGAAAAATCAGATCATTGTTATAATTATTAAGCAGTAATAACACTGGTTAAAATGTAGTGGAGAGCAGTCAAAAATTAAAGCTGTCAATCTCAGAACATCCCCATCAAGCAAAATGCTTAAAGGAGAGTATCATAAAGATGGATTTTTGTTCAAGCTAACAGCTAAGGGTGGAATAAGGTCTTGATCGAGGGGATCAACCATTATTACAACTCAGGCAGGCTTGACCCTAAGGAGGAAAGCACGTTGGGTGTTGGTTGATCTTTGAAGCAGCTTTCAAATGACATATAAACTACAACATTTGACTAGCTTCCTGCAATCAAACATAGGAAACCAGGCTGCTAATTGATGCATAGATTGCATAAAGTTCCTACCTAATGGCCTTGACATCCTGCACAATATTAAAATGCTTTGAGACTTAGAATCATCTATCTCAAGATTCCCAATCCCTCATATACTCACACTTACATCTCTCATGGTAGGACAGTTCTCATCATCTCTAAGCAAAATACATTACCAGCCATATTAAGAGGAATCTCTGCCATCAAAGCATTACCGAAAACCAAAGCAATGCTGATGGTACAAATGCAAATACTCCTTACACACAGCTCAAAGTTTGACAAACTTGATGGTGTCAATCACGCTATACTCCGTAAGATAAACTGAGGTTTCCTGTTTCCCAATAATCGCCAAAGCAGCTAGGAGCAGTGTATGGATTTGTGTTCACAAAAGGCAGATTCTTTCTACTCTTTCATCAGTATCTATACTTACCAACAAGTGTACAAATGTTCTCTTCATTTTTGCTAATTTTTTGTATTTACAACATTGATAAACTAAATACAATTATCTTTGCTAATGAGATAGAGTTTTCCAGGTTCACCTATGTTACTTTGCTAGTCCCCACAATCCATGTACCCCATTCCACTTGCATTTCAAATCTTAATTCTTTTTTTAACAAAAATCTTGATTTAATAACTATGATACAAAAGGTCATGCTCCAATCTTTATGACACTAATTACCAGAAACAATTAAACTAGGCGCTGAACTGGGTTACTACAACATAGAACCTAATCATGTTCCTCCAACAAAATCCTAATTGCTGGCGCCGGGCTGGTTAGGAAGGTTAAATTTTATGCAATCTCTACACACAATTTTATAGACCTCTAATTTAAAAGACCAACTCACTAAAATTCTTAAATTTCACCCAAAGAAAATTCATCAAAGTTTCAAACTTGATATTCACATACTTCACCCTTCTACATACAATTTCTAAAAATACAGAGCAATTACTATAAATACAATAATCAATTACTTAAATTAAATTGACCATATGATAAATTAACCAAGTGCATAAAATGAATTAATAATTAGATAAGCAATATACCTGAGGCAGCAAGAACAATGCCCTCAACAAGAATAACACAACCAAGGCCCAACCAAGTAAGCAAAAAAGCTCTTTCATTCACACCTTGTTGATTATCTTCCTCACCCACATTGTTTTTACCCAAAAAAGCTGGTTTTTCCACTGGATTACGCCGTATAATTGAAGCTCTCTCTCTCCTCCCTTTCTTCTTCCCAGTTGATGATGATGGTTTGGGTAATTGGGTCGACCCGAATCCTTGCCCGGTTGAAGAAATGGGTTTTTTATCAGAAGATTGCTCAATTGGGTTATTATTAATGGTGGGTTTTGAAGATTGAGATTCTGAAGATGATGAATCTAGACAAAAGATGGTGAATTTGGGTTTGGTGGGAAGAGTATTGAATAGTAAGAGATGAGGTTTATTGGTGAAGGAAGAGGATTGAAGGGAAAGCAGTGCCATTTTTTTTAGCTATCGCTTCGTATTTGTTTGGTATTTTTACAATTCTTCTCAGATTTTTGGTTTATTTTGATTTGATCCATATTTTCTCGGAATTGGGTCATTTTCCCTCTTTTTTCTATCCATTTTAATTGCGGCTATTTCACCAAATACCACTAGGCAATTGCAAAAAATCACCAAATGTCATGGACCTTTTCAAAATTCACCAAATGCCACCGAGTTTTAAGAAAATTCACCGAGTGTCATTAATGACTGACAGCTGTTAATTGACCGTTAGTTGACCCCACCACTTGTCATGTGTCACCTTCTGATTGGTCCGTTTTTAAAAATAACAAAAAATTAAAAGAAAAACAACAAAAAAATTTAAAAAAAAAAAGAACTTAGAGTTGGCCAGCCACCACCTCCTCCCTGCCGTCGAGCCCCCTGCCCACCCCAAAACCCTAGTCGCCGCCACCCCCTGCAACCAGGGCTAGCACCGGAAGGCGCGCCGGCCGCCGACGACCCCTCCCCTATCCCGTCGCGACCCCCTAACCCGCAAAACCCCACCTCCCTTCCTCCACCACCCCGAAACCCCACCCCCCTTCCTCTCCCTCTTTGTTAGTTCACAACCATCGCAGCGAACTTACCACACCAACTCCCAACACCAACCACTGCATCTCAAAAGCCACCAGCAGCAACTCCAATCACCACCAATTTTTGTGAAGAACCCTAAAGAAATTAAATTGGGGTTTTTTGTTTGGTGAAGCAATTCACAAAATTGTTTGCTCTAATTGATTATATGTTGAATTGTGAACATTTTGGTACAAGTTTAATAAAATTTGGTGAAGAAATGATGTTCCTCAAGCTTTCATGCGTGAGCTTCAATGGAGCTTCAATGGCGTTTTACCAGAAACTCCAAAATCCCGACCACCGCCACCACCACAAACTCCACCAGCGAAATCCCAAAACCCCGACCACCACCAGAAACCCCGCAAATCCACCACCACCAGAAACTCCACCAGCAAAACTCTGTAACCCCGACCACTAGAAACGACCACCACTAGAAACTCCGAAATCCACCAGTGAAATCCCCAAACCTCGACCACCAGCACCACAATGCGAAACCACTAGCAAAATCCCGAAACCTCCACCACCAGCGAAATCCACCACGAAAACGCGAAACCGTACCAGCGAAATCCACTTGCACCACAACGAGAAATCGTACCACCGAAATCCACTAGCTTTAGATTGTTGATTATTGTTCGTGTTTGGTTTCACGAGATTTCATAGGTGGTGGGTGGCTGGGTTCGGGAACTGCCGGCGGCTGGGCTGGTGGCTGGGGTTTGGGATTCAGTTTTTTTTTTTTATAATTATTTTTAAAAAAAACAAACCAATCATAAGGTGACATGTGGCAAGTGGTGGGGTCAACTAACGGCTGTTAGTCATTAGTGGCACTCGGTGAATTTTTTTAAAACTCGATGGCATTTGGTGAATTTTGAAAAGGTTCATGGCATTTGGTGAATTTTGCAATTGCTCAGTGGCATTTGGTGAAATAGCCGTTTTAATTATCCTTGAAATTAGAAACAAAAAAACTTGAAGAGTGTACACTACTCCCAAATCCCAATAAGGTTCGACTAATACATACGAAGGACTTTTGCATTATTCACGATGTTTCACATTATCGTGTGTATAATTTTTTTCCGATATTCACATATAACATTGGCTTGAACAACACAAATTATTGCTTAGGTGCGTTCAATAGCACAAACTTTAAGTGCAGTAACGAATTCTAGGGTTGGTGCAATAAATGACATAAATAATTTCTAATAACATATTCCATCGGATTCCGACCATTTTGTGCTCCACTTAAAGTGAGGTAATGAGGATTCCACCTAAAGTTCGTGCTATTGAGCGCATCCAAATAAAAGTTTGTGCTATTTTAGCCACTTTTGCCTACAATTTAATGCTTATTGAAATTTAAAAGGGTGTAATACCACATAAATTTTCACGAATAATCTACATAATCTATAATGAATTTGCACAACCATCTCATTTTATCAATCATTTCTTCGGAAAACCAGTCGAGATGGTGAATTTAAATTTGAGAATTGTGACTTATCATACACAAACCCTCATTATTAATTACTCCGAATTAGGTCAATAGTTCATTTGACTATCGGTGATATGAGTTCTTTTTTTTAAAAAAAAAACAAGGAATATGGGCCTTTTATTTTCTCCTCCACAATAATCTCTCGTTTGTCCTAAAAAAACAAAAATGTGATTATAATGACATGGTTAAAATCTTCATGAATCCTTTAGTTTCTCTCTCCTCCCCCATAAATGGCGTTTCTCACTCAACTCCGCTCTCTCTCTTTACCCTCCACTTTCCTTCCCAAACCACCTTCTTTCAATTGCAGCTTTTCTCTCTCCTCGAAGACGAAGACCAAGCCACAACTTGCAGCTCAAACCAACAACAATGGCGGCGCTGCTGTTGTCTGGTTCAAGCATGACCTTCGAATCGACGATCATCCCGGCATTGTTTCCGCTGCTTCCAACTACTCCAATGTTGTCCCTATTTACGTCTTCGATCCTCGTATTTTATCCCGTTAAGTCTATTTCTCTCTCTTTTCTACTTGATTTTTTATTTCTTTGAAAAATTTCGTAGAAATTATCTGAATTAACGATTTTAACAATCGGTGAATTGGGTTTAATTTGTTGATTGATGAGCTGCTTTGATTAATGATATGCTTAGTGTTCAATTTTGTATTTGAAATTCATTAATGTGTGTAGTTTGTTGTTTTAGTTGTATTTAGGAGGGAAATGAAGAATTAGGCATTGTTTCAATTTTGTATTTGAAATTTATTTGTATTTGTAATTTGTTACTGTAGTTGCGTTTAGGAGGAAAATGAAGAATTAACAATTGCTTCAATTTTGTATTTAAAATTCATTAATGTGTGTAATTTGTTACTATAGTTGTATTTAGAAGGGAAATGAAGAATTAGGAATTGGTTCAATTTAGTATTTGAAGTTCATTAATGTATGTAGTTTGTTATTTTAGTTGTACTTAGGAGGGAAATGAAGTATTAGGAATTGGTTCTTTAGGGCTTTTTTTTCATGGTATTAGTTGAGTATGTAGATTTGCATGCCTGTAAATGTTGTGAATTAAAATTGTGTTTGAAGAGTGGCTTACACAATGTACTTTTGTTTATTGTCAATTTGTCTGAGTTATCCTTCCGCGAGGGCTATGATAGTCTAGTCTTCCTTGTATCGGTCCAATATATTAAATGGCACAAACCTTAGAATGACAACGTGGGCCTTCTTTGTTCACAATGTTCTGTGTGATTCTCACACTTCTTAGCTTAGTTTAATTTAATTTGCTAAATTCAAGTGAAATGAGTTTGGATTTTGTGGCGTTTGAAGAACAAGCCTCATTAGAGATATGGTCATGTAGAGTATGGACCCCATTGCTTCATTAGGCGTTAAAGCTAAAAAGATGTTTTCGATGGCAGTCATTCTCACAGCTATAGTTACAATAGAGCAGAACTGCAATAGACTTTAGGGTTGTACTTTTCTTTTCTTTTTAGTTTTTACACTATCCTTTGGTTTGGACTGAATGACCGATAAAGTAAATTTCCAGTAACAAGGAATATTGAGAGGTGGGTATTTTGTTATCACCGCAGGTATTGCAGCTATTCTCTGTTCCATGTTATCTAAATAGTCATTCCTCAAAGCGTTAGCAAATGTGGACTGCCTTATGCATGTGTTTATTGTGACCATATGTATATTGCGAGGCTTATTTGTAGTGACTGTATATGGGTACTGCAGGTTTTCCTGATGAAATGGTAGAACTTCTTCTTCTTGCTGTAGAAGACTTAAGGAGGTCACTTAAGGAGCATGGTTCCAATTTGATGATCAGATCTGGGAATGTGGAAAGCATCTTAAGTGAACTAGTAAAAGAGGTTGTTACACATTAGGTATACTTAATGTGATAGTTAATAGTCAGTTTGTGAGAACATTGAGCATTCATAGTTTCACTTTGTTAATTTTACAAATGAGGACTTAAACAGATTAAAGCAACCGTATTATTTGCGGAAGAAGAGGTAGAATATGATATGCGTTCTTTGGTTGCTACTGTTGATGATTCCCTAGCAACAGATCCTGTTCTAGATTGGAATCCAAAGATTGAAGTGTGGAGGACGTCTTTTTATGATGCTAAGGTGATAGTGATTGTCTCATTCTCATCTTAGTGATTACATTGGTTTCATTACTTTCATGTATGCTTGACAAACATTGTGCTCACTAATAAACATGTAGAGCTTGGATGACTTACCTGCATTCTTTGGAGATGTGAAGAAACCTCAACACAATGATGTTTCATTGCTTGGTATTCCAAGATTTCATGGATGCTTTATGGAGTTGGATTGGGGTGAGCTATCTTGTCCTATTATTAAACCTTGCCTCTTTATCAGTTGAAGCGTGAATCTTTTATTCTAGCATTCCTACCCTATGCCGAATTTGTCATCAATAATGTCAATGGACTCATATCAGGTCATCTTCCCACTATCGATGATGTGTGTACATTCATGGACTATCATACAAATAAAGAAAAAGAACAATGGAATTCCATCAAATACACTTCAGCGGAAGCTGTATTGAGAATGGATCACATGAAGCTGCTAAAATCTGGCAGCCCTGTGCCCGGGGAATCTAGGGTATCACAATTAGGGAGCAGCAGTCAAATTTCCAATGAAACTCAAAGAAAGAGGCTGAAAAACTCTGTTTTTGGTACTAGTAAAGGAAACATAGTTGCTGGCGGAACAGAAACTGTATTGAATGCATTGGCTGGGTATTTGAGATATCTGGAAGGAACAGCACGAGATGACTGGCAAGAGTAAGTTCTATTGTGAATTTGTGATGATCTTTTCTTTAGCTCGTTTTGGCTTGAGTTCCCTTGCACTTTATCCAATACTTTATTGACATAAAACAAATAATTTAAGACAAATGATTTCATAGAAATTTTGATGGATAAACTTTTCTTGCTGAATTTTTTAGATTTATGAATATTTGATACTGTCCTGAAATTTTGTAGAAGGCATTGCAGGTACAAATTCGTAAAACCATGTTATTATTGTTTAGGAACATATGTTGGGACAACTCAATAGAAGAAGTGGATATATTTGTATGGGACCAAAAGAGTACTTGCTTGGTTAACGCTCAACACTGACTAATTTGCCTTCGCATTCATGAATAGATTGCAACATTCAGATTCGTCTTTTGTGCTGCAAATTTTCAAAGGTGCAGATAGTGAAGATATCATGATATAGATAAAGGGTAGTAGAATTTTTAAGGTGTTAGACTTGAGCATTTCTGTTTCTAATTTCTATTGCTGTTCCAATATCTGCATGAAATGTACTTGTTAATCCCAGTAGAAAAATTATAGTATGTGGCTTGTCCTCTGTAATTATTGCTAAACCAAGACTTTTTAAGTCACTCCAGTGTAAATTAATCTCCCATTTAGTTTATAATTCCTATCCTGATGTGGTTTCAGGATTCACCTAAGGTTGAGGGAGACTGAAATCCGAACTGGAGCTTCATTTGGAGCTCTTTTTGGATCTGCTTTGCAGCTTGGCACCATATCCCGTAGGAGAGTATATTATGAAGCAATAAGATATGAGAAAGAACGAAATGCTGGGTTTTTATCTCCATTTGGGTATTCTACGACAACAGTTCCTGCTGCCATTGATGCAGTATGCTCAATAGAGGTATGAGGAATGATAACTTGACTGAAAGCTGTCTTTTTTTTTTTTGTTATTATTAATTTTATTTTTGTTAAACAGACTTTGTTTTGCTAATTGGTGTCAGCTAATCCTTCTAAATATTTGTGGCAGTGGTATTGGCTTCTGAGTTTGAAAAGCTTATCTCGGAGGGAAGAACCGTACTCTAAGAGACTGTGGAGATGGAATGGGCACCTAATTCAGGTATAATTGGTAGGGAATGGGTGGGGGATGTATATTTCGCTTGTACCCTTTTCCCATCTACAGGGAAGTTGACTCTTGTTGGACCAACTTATCTTTATTCTAAGAAATCTAAAACTATTGTGTGGGCTTATGGAGGTTGATTAGTTGGAGCTCGAATAGGACATGTAGATGCTGCTATTGTCTTCAGATTTTTTTCTGAAAAGCATGCGTTCCTTTCTTCCACAATGATGTATCTTCTCTGTATTTTCATATCATGTTGTGTTCATTTAAAGCACGCTTGACTCTCTAACTCTCAAAACTAACCTTTACCAAAAGTTCATCCGCCTTTTTGAAATGATGTTACTGCTTCTGCTTGAGGAAATTTTGGTGCATTCACTCTGACTTAGAAGCTTTACGTAGGACTAGTGTTTTTATTTGATTTTGTTTGGGCAGTTTAATTTTCCTTGTCATTTTCAAATGTTAGACGTGAGCTTTGATGGGGGATATTCCTTAGATAGTCATCTGGTTTGTTGATTATAGTAGTTTCCGAATGTGATATTACAAGTCCAGTCGGTGATGTAAGTGTAGGACTCATCATTCATGTGACGCCTTTTTTTTTTATTTTGAGTTTTTTCAATAGATTAATTTTTTCTGGTTGAGTATCCGAATCTCTCCTGGCATAACTTTGAATCTCTGACAGCGTGGCCAAAATTGAATTATAGATTTTTGGCTACTAAACACTGTTGTGTTTTTAGTACACAGTTGTTGGTTGTGAAGGGCCTGCTGTTCTTCTTGTCCATGGATTTGGGGCTTTCTTTGAGCATTATCGTGACAACTTGAGTAATATAGCTGATGGTGGGAATCGAGTTTGGGCTCTTACTCTTTTAGGCTTTGGACGGTCTGAAAAGCCAAATATTGTTTACAGTGAGCTCATGTGGGCAGAATTATTGCGCGACTTCATTGTTGAGGTTGTGGGTGAGCAAGCACATCTTGTTGGAAACTCAATTGGTGGTAGGTTTCACCTTGCCTTTTCTTCAACAGACATTTGAATTTAGCTGCTCTGTTCTTAGGCTTATTTAGTTCACCTTTTTTCCATTTATTTCAAGAATAGATAAGTTTAGATTAGGGCTAATAAGTTCAGAGGATAAGTTCAAGAAAAAATAAGCTGAGATTAGGGTTTATAAGGGCTACCAAAGATCAATTTACCACTAAATGAAGTTCAGTGAGTTCTAAAAAGTTTAGATAAGTTCAGATATGCTCAAATAATGCAAACTTTTTGATTCTTTCAATCAACGGACAATTTAATTCCTAGCTCTGTTCTTATTTCCTTCAATACCTGTAGTAATCTATATTTTTTAAATGTCAGGATACTTTACTTCAATTGTTGGTGGTCTTTGGCCTTCATTGGTCAAATCTATTATTCTTATGAACACTGCTGGAGATGTTTTTCCAGGATATTCCTCTCTGCTATTCTTTAAGGTGAGGAATTTATGATCGATGATTGCTACTTGGGTAGCTTTTGGTGAAGTGCTCATGAAAACTGGATTTTGCACTAAGAACAACTTTTTTCCATCTGAATCCATTGTAGGAAAGACAAATTTCTGGGGCTGCTTGGTTGGGATCAAGAGCAATTCTGCAATACTTGAGATTTAGCATAAGAAGCCTCGTTAAAAATTGCTACCCTACTGTAAGTGGGCTCATTCACAGCTATGCTTGATAGCTGTAACTTGTTCTAGGTTTTTTACTATTTCATTTCTCTTTCTTTTTGTTATTAATAATTTGTATGTTATTTCAAATTTGAAGCGACCTGAAAGGGCTGATGACTGGCTCATCAAGGAAATGCTTAGAGCTGTATCCTCTTCTATTAATGAGATTTGGTTTTTCGTCACCGCCCTATTTCTGTTTTGCTTTATAGTTTCCTATGTTTCCAGCATTGTCAACCTTGATGTTTGCACAAGTCATATGATCCTGGCTCAGTAGAGGTTTTAGAGAGTGTATTCAGCTTCAATTTGTCCATTCCTCTTAATCATCTTTTAAGCAGATTAACGGGAAAGGTTTTAATTATACAGGTAATTCTAATTTTGTTTGCAATATTGATAATAATAATAATAATAATTGATAAAAGTTCTAGCTGTATATAATAAAAACTACTAGGCATTCAACTCATGTCTGATTGGTTTATTTATTTTCGTCAGGGAATGAAAGACCCAATAGCTGATCCTGGTTCCAAGCTTGCTATGTTCAGAGAGCACTGTGAAGGAATCATAATCAAGGAGCTTGATGCTGGTAATTACACCTTTTAAACCCCTGAATTAATTGCAATATGAAAGTCTGAATACATCAGTTGGATACTATAACCATGGTGTTGATACTGTAGGCCATTGCCCCCATGATGAGTGTCCAGATGAAGTCAATGCTATGATCTGTGGATGGATATCAGAGATTGAGAGCAAAATTCATTCTGAGAGCTTTGGTTCATCAATCAGCTCGCCATGCACATAACACAATTATGCTACCATAACCGTGTAAAAATTAAAGCCGGATAGCAAACACAATTATTTTGCCATTGGGTAATACCATTGATTTAATTGGAAAATTGTTAGAATGATTGTGTTTAGTAGCTCAAGCTTGTATTCTTTATTAGAAATGAAATATAAAAATAAAAAAAACTTTTTTGTAACAATTTTGTTCATCGAAAACCAGTGATCAAATAACTTAACCTAGTCATGATCAATAGGAAAATCAAAATACAGGTAAAAAAATTTAGGTTCTCTTCACTTTACAAAAATATTTTTAAGAAATAATACTACGTAATATAATTTTAATTCAGAAGAAATAATACTAGGTTAAAGTTCAGCAAAAATAAGTTCGGATAATTAAATTGTACTTAGTAAAAATCAATAACATCAAAGAATAAAATTATTAGTGAATCAATAAACTAGAAAGTTTTACGGCCTATTCTACTCATCTCAGTTTCACTTATTTTGGGAAAATAAGTTCATACTTTGTATAAGATAAATTCTTGAAAAGTACTTGTAAAAACTAATAAGTTTTGTTACGAGTAGATAAGTTTTGTATTCGGGTGCAGGAATTGTGGGAAGACAGTGGCTGTTTGTCTTTGATTGATGAGAGGTTGATGAATGATCCGTGCGATTTTCTTGTTGATTGGAAAAAGGGGAATGTGAAGTTGCAGCAACGAGCGGCCTTTCTTGCTTGGTGTATTTGGGGGGAGAGAAACCAGAAAGTTTTTAATGATAAAACTACCCCTAACCCTGTTCTTTTGGCACGAGCTAATAGAGTGAGTGAGGAATATGGCTTTTATAGCAAGAAGGTACATGTGAGCTTTGGGGAGAAGAGACCTCGTAGCAGCAAGTCACCTGAGGGAGTTATCAAGATCAATGCAGATGCTTCTCTTGCGGATGAGGGCTGGGTTGGTCTAGGGGTCGTGGCTCGTGACAATGTGGGAGGGGTTGTGTTTGCTGCAACTCGAAGAAAAAGGCATGGTGGCCCCCGGAAATAGCAGAAGGCAAAGCCATCTGTATGGCAGTTCGGCTGGCTAGAAAGTTGGGTACAAAGATGTGATTATTGAGTCCGATTGCCAAGTGCTGATTGATCGTCTGTCGAAAAAGAGATGGCAATATAGTTGCTCATCATTTAGCTTAGCTTTTACCTTTCGATGTAGAACAAACATGGGTGAATCATTATCCTGCGGAAATCTCACCTTATGTACTCTCGGACGCTTTGTCCCTTAACACCTTATGTACTCTCGGACACTTTGTCCCTTAATAAATACACTGTTCGGTTTTTCTCAAAAAAAGAAAAAAAAATTCATCAAATATCAAGTGAAGAGAGCAAAACCTTAATATAAATGATTGACTATAATAATTATATTAAATATATCATGGCATCCAAATCCTTTTGAGCTTCTACTCCGAAGGTGTTCAATCTCAAAACCTATTATAAATCAACAATTTGTTATTTACTCGTAGCTACTATGGAGTAAAAATCAAATAAAAATTCACTTAGACCAATATTGAACGAAATCTAAATAGAATAAAGTATCAAATTGACATCTGATGAATTATAAGTACCAAAATTCGCTCTTATGAGCAAATGAGAGCAAAAATTGTAGACAAGAAGCAACGATTTACAAATAGCTATGTCTTACATCGCGCATGTATATTTCTTAAACATCATGCACTAACCCTGTATGTAAACAATAAGTGGAAAGAATACTGCAGCTTGAATTCAGTTGGTTATACTTACTTTGGCAAAATCATCCGAAGATCCTTGAAAAATCTGAAATCTTCAATGCAGGTGACTCAACTTGCTCTGGTGGGACATTCATTATGTCACCACTTTTCGAGAGTACATTGGCAGTAATTTGGTTGACAGAGTACACCCTATTGGCAGTAATTTGGTTGACAGAGTACATTGGCAGAATTATGTCCCAAGCCTTAGCCCCCTGAACAGGATAAGGTCGACTCTTTTACCCCTTGCTACTAAATCAGGAGGCCTTAGCTCTGATGATTTCTTGAAAATCTAGATAAAAACGATCATAATGTCAGCTTCTTAGAGAATGATCACAGTGGATCTACCACCAACTGGTAATCTCATGGAAGGAAACACCTCCAAACACCAGTACCCATTACCCAATAATCGCTATCTCCTAATGCCATTTCTACAAGTCTAGCAAACATGTGGAGGTTCTCTCAATTCAAGCTTCATCTCTTCAGAGAGTGCTCTTATGTCAGGAATCACGCCCCCATTGGAATATCTTATACTGCCATCCCCAACTAAATCTTTCAACAAGTCAACTGGCTCTACAGCACCCCCATGCTGCAAAAACTTTGTTCGAAGGGCAGTCCCAGTTTCGAGCGAGAGGGGATCCTCTTGACATGTATTTTTCCATATGGTTGCAGCAAAACACTTGGCATATAAATAGCTGTAGTATCCTACAAACAAGCAGAAGATACTCTCAGAACATATACTGTGTGGCACCCTTGAGCAAGGAGCCAAAAGCATGACATAAACTCAAGACATAGCAAATTATATGACTATATGAGAAAAGGCAGCTTTTAATTATAGATCCCTTTTCAAGTATCATGATACATTAAGCATTGGTGTACTATAAAAGATGGTGATGATGATACCTCAATTTGGAAACTAACTAGAAAAAATCAGAAGGTGACACAACAACACATCAAGAAATGCCATGAAAGTATTCAACTCTTAAGTCAGGAATTTCAGGAACTATACAAACAGGAATAAATTTATGTGAGTTGAATAATAGCAAGAGTTGCACATAAAAATGGTCTCAAAATGGCTTAATGTTGATATAAAGTATAGACACATGGTAGCTCCAAGAAGTCTTAATAAACTGTTATCTCGTTTCCAGTTGCTACAAAGTAAAATCACTCACTGATATGTAGAAGCATATTAGTAGTAGTACATTAAAACATTCCAAATCCATATTGGCCATATCTATGAAATTTCACCAATGAACAAGGCAAGAAAATCTTCCAATGATCCAAATACTCGTTAATACCTTGTCGGTACATTTTGAGAAGTCCCCATTAGCATGACACCAATATTACATTTACATAGTTTCCATTTTCCAATAAAAGAGAAAAACAAGACATTCTATCCTTGAATTCCCATCATTTTACCGCGTTCATACATATTTGTACATGGTTTGTTGGACCCCCGCATTTATACGAGTGCCTAAAGAATCTGTAATGCCTACAGAATTTTGCTTTGTAGAGCCCTTCTTTCTCTCTCTACTTAACCCTTCACACACCCTTCACTCTCTCTCTCTCCTCTTCCTTCTACTGCCATCTCAGTGCTCAGACTTTCTCGATTCTCAAATTTGGCGATCGACCTCTCATTTATTCTGGGTGAACATCTACTTTTCATTTTTTTTCAACCCCATGTTTTTTTTTCTTATTATTCTGAATATTATCACTTGCAATTTTTTCAACCCCAAACTTCTTATTGTAGCTATTATCCCTACCATAATAGCAAAAAAAAGGATAAATGCTGATAAATGACAGATTCCAGTGTTTGATTCTCGCAGAAGACATACCTCCACCATAATTCAGCAAGTGACTAAACCGGGTGTGCCAGTGTGTTCCTTCAACTTGCTTATAACTTGTGTATTGCCTTTTCAAATCTGCAACAATTGAAATAGTATCTCTTGGAGAAGAATCTTGTTCCCCAAAAAGCTTTTGATCAATCAGCGCATAAAATATCTAAGAAGAAACAAGCAAAAGATAAAGAAAGTCAAGAATACTTTTGAAGACGAAAAGCAATTATAGCACAGCTCACTAATCCATTCATATCCTCAGCCAGCATACCTGCCGCTGCAATTCAGTTGCAGCAAACATCATTTTAGCATCTTGCATCGAATCCACCAACTTTTTGGGTATGATTTCCCCAGTTGAATAGTGTTTAGCAAATGTCTTCAAAACTCGATAATCCCAAGCGTAGTACCTAAAAACAATCAGTCATAAATCTGTACACCAACCATTCTAACAATACTAAGCTATGTTTCAATGCAAAGATTGCAAACTATCTGACAAATCAGATCCTCGTAAAAAAATGTAAATGTACATGATTAGCATGAACGGATTACTTACATATTTATGCGCTCATTTTTTCTTTTTCTTCTTATTTATAAGCATAGAAGTTACACCTAACTTGGACAGAGGAAAACAGCAAGAGAACAAGGTGTCTGAGTTAGCCTAGTACCATTGTGTAATTCAACTCTCCAATTGGATATAGTCTAAAATCCTAGTTGCCTTAGACCATCATGATGCTGACAAAGTTTCTTGCTCGAGCCGGATGATGAAAAATTCTCATGTCCTTCTTTCGGGGTGCAGTCTTTTGTGGCCAAATCAAGGATTTGGGGCTTCTCTATCCCATAAAATATCATAGTATCATGGGAAGAAGCTAGTCGATTAAATACTCTACCATCCCGTTCTAGTCAAATTGTCCACAAGATAGCCACAAGTCCACAACCTTTTTTCCTCTGCTATATAAATCCCCACAAAAGAAACTTGCAACCAATCTACATTTTTAAAGGGCTAAACCAATCCTCTTCATGCACCACAAAATTCTCCTTTAGAGATATGATGCCAACTCACTATAAGCTCAGAAAAGCAAACAATTGCCAGGTAAAATAGCACACTCCGGCCTCCATTATAGAGCATGTAATTCATATACGGTCAACTTAGCATGTATTCCATAATTGCATGAAAGAGTGAAAGACACATAAAAAATATATGAGGTTCAGACATGCAGCAAATGAAAACAGCAATGAGCATAACATAAAAGAGATGAAGTTTGTGAGCTAGTAGCAAATTTATTGTCACTAGTCAAGCCTAAAATTCAGAAGCTATCTCCTTGCAATAACCAATGTCCAATGGTATTTGCTCTTGACGTGGTATCAATTTCAAAGAAGCACTTAAGGGTAGATCAAATCCTTATAACATAGCATTTCATAACTCTGAATATATAGTACAAAACCAAGAATTATTCTACTCACTCAAATAGATTTGAAGGAGTTTCAGCTAAATCCAGTGCTACCCTGGTTCCTGAAAAATGTTGGTATTCCTAGAAAAAAAAGGTAACATTTGAACAGCCAATCAGCCACACTGGCCAACATACATATATTCAACTTGAAAAAAGTAAGAAACTACAGTGCATACCGTCCTTGACAAAAGTGAATGCAGAGCATGTCCAAACTCATGAAACAGTGTTTCTACTTCTCCGTGGTTAAGCCTCACCGTTGATGGATTATTTGAATTGGAAAAATTGCAGACGAGGGCCACAACCTGAAAATTACAGTAAAGGATAGATACAAAGAAACAGCATTTGTTACCTAACATTATTGATTAACAAAAGAATAGAGTTAAAACAAAATTGATGAAACCAAACATGACCAGATAATCTATGCTAGTTTATGTACATAATCATTGCTAGTTCAAATAAACAAATTTTTACATATCCCAGATCAGCTGCTTTCCAAATAGTGACGTATAATCTAGTTTAAAGACTTTAACTAAATTCATGACAAACCTAGGCATGAATGCTAAGTTGCAATTCCTAATGTCTCAACACTGTCCCTCACACCCCCCCCCCCCCCTCTCTCTCTCTCTCTCCCTCTCTCTCTCTCCCAAGAATGCCATTTTTGCATCATGAACGGGACAAATTCAGAAGTGCATTTTACAGCAAAGAAGTAACACAAACAGGCAAAATAAAAGGTAAAGAGCAATAGAATTACAATGAACAAGAGAACATGAATCAGACAAAACTACGAAAACATACAGGAAGTTGGTATTCTGCTTCTGAAATGCGCCGACCTCCTTTAATTGCAAAGTGAGCACAACCCGGATATTTGTCCTTCCTTGAATACAAGTCGAGGTACAAGTATCCCAAATCACCCTAAAACAAAGTGTATTTTTAAGGAAAATATGTAGATCAACTCATTTTACCAACAATACATGGTACGTAATCTGGAAAAGGAGGGGGAAATGCCTTATACCAGCAAAAAAAAACATGTCACTTTTAAGCAGTATGGAATTCTTAGGCCAAAACATCCTAATCGTTGCTCTAGGTTTTCTTGTTTTTGACTTCAAAGAACTGATTTTTTTTTTAAAGGACAGGATATAAGATTCATATATTGTACTAGCAAACAAGAATAAAGAAGAGTTAGAAGACACATAAATTCACATTTCTAGGAGCAGAGAGAAATAAAGAAATGAAATTATAATCTTGGTGAGGCCATTCTACATGCTTCTGATTATTAGGAAAGACCGAAAGAGCAAAGAGGGGGAGCATTATGAGCATCCGTATGCAAAGTTATTAAAATCGGGATTCTACTTTGAATCGGAAGGGGCTCTCAGAATCAAATCGTAGAATCGTGACATGCATAATCAAGACGTCATATCCAAATTTAATTAAATATATTTAAATTATGAGTTTGAAACCTAATTATTAATAGAAAATAGTTGTTTACCCATCAAGCAACCAATAATTGACCATACATATTCATAAATAACTATATAGGCATGTTTTAAACTTATATGGATTTCGATAGTAAAGAAAATATGTAAAATCAGGTAGAATCGTAAATTGAATCGTATGACATACATGAATCGTAAAATCATAAGATTCTAAGATTTAAATCGGGATTCTAATAACAATGTCTGTATGAGCTACACTTGCAAGATCCATTTTTCTAATGCCAAGGGAAAAGGGAACAGTAAAAATTCAAGAATCCATGCAGGATAATGAGTAACGAAGAGTTAGAACTCATAAAGTCACAGGGCTGATTTATGATAGATTCCACCCTTCTTTGATTAGGCCAGCTAAAGCTGAGGTCAAAAAACCCTTACCTTGTCCAAGACAATCCAAAAGCAAACCTTTCCACAGACCAACCTCTTCAGAATTAACAGAAGACTCGAAGTTTTTCAATTCTATATCCCAATTTGTAATCCTAGGGGAAAATGTGACGTAGGATAAAATCAGTACTCATAGATGGATAAGGCTTAGACTTCGTTTCCCAAGCAGGACAGATACATGGTGCCTTCTTCACCCAAGATTTACACTGATCTACTGGTGGAGTTTAAATTCTCACAGAGTAATATTCCTTAAGTTCATCGCTGGAATTCAACCCCTGCCAGCTTGATGACATTGATCTCACCATCAATACCCCTACAGAAGCCTAAAATCAGAACACTTTGAAACATCATACCCCAAACTACCCCCCCCCAACACACACACACACACAAAAAAAAAAAAAAAAAAAAAAAAAAAAGAAGGGAAGTAATTTTCAGATACATGGATATACTTTTCCATGTTAAGTGCAAAATCAAACCACACAAAGGCAGATTTGTCGCCAACTTCATGTGCCACCTGACACAAGTCATCATGCACACACCGCCTGACCAACTCATGCAGCCTCAAAGGTTTTCCCAACTCCAAACCCTAATCAACTGCATGAGTGACCACTGACCAACACAAATCGCTAGTCCGCTACCAGCCACAATGTACCCAACACTGCTGGCTACCTCTCTCACTGTCACCTCCTAATTGCCCACTAATCTAGCAGGCATAGCAGTAGCGACAACAATCTCATGCCAAGATCCTTCAAGGCCTCATACCTACATAATTACCACCTACCTTCTCACCAACAACCTTCCTCAGCACTCTAAACTCTGCCCATGAGTCAAATAGCAGCCTATCAAGGCTTCCCTTTCTCATGAAAACCATCCAGTCTCCAAGAATCTACCATTGGAATCAATTTTTGCTTTAAATTACTCAACCCACTACCCACCCAAAAGATACCCTAAATCACTTTTCAAATGATCTTAACTTACTAGTATAAGAGGTCAAAGAACCTCATTTATGAAGCAAGACATGCTCATAGATACAATCAACTGATTTAAACAACCCAATTTCATTGAGGCCGAAAAAGTCTCAATTTCAGAATTCATAGAAATAAACCGCAGAGGGAAACTCTGCAAGGGGCATATCAGTAGAGAAAGAAAACCATCAAGGGAGGGAAGAGAGGATGAGAAAAGGGAGAAAGAGAGAGAGTAACCATTGCAATGAAAATAAACTTCAACTAGGTTACTCTACAAAAATTTAACCTGGTCTTATCCTAAAAGCTTCAATTTGTTTGTCCACTTGTTTGACAGCCTCCCCCCCCCCCTCCTCTTGTTTTTCTTAGGGTGTGTGCCTTGTGGGAGAGGGGGGTGGGGGGTTATGCACCAAAAATATTGACTAATACTACCATGTCGAAGAACAATAATAGTATAAAGTATCAGCTTCATATGCACCAAAAATGCAAGTTTATCATCAATTGTACCTCTTCAGGATGATGAAGTGACAATTTAAGAACATCTAGATGCCATGATTCACCTGGAGCAAGAGGGATATTATGAAATGATGCACCAAACAATGACTCCACCAGCAATTTCAAACCCTCAATACATTGTAGCAGAGGAAAGTAGGAAGCAATTACCTGTAGATAGAACAGGCAGGTCAACTTTAATACCAAGTTGCAATTTAAAGAAAAAAATAATGATCCAAAAAAGTGATCCAAATACCGATAATTCCAACCAAGCAAGCCCCCCACCCTTCCTCCCTAAAAAAAATATTAAAAAATAACGTAATGAAGTATATAACAGGTAGAGAGCCAATCAATAATTGTACTCCCTCCGTTTCCAGTCAATCAAAACAATTGGCTAGCACAATTGCCAATGCACAATTTTGACCATTAATATCTCTACTTATCTGCAAGTAAAAATTATTACTAACACAAATCAAAAACATCTTGTATACTGACATTTGTTTCTATATGTTAGTACAAAATCATGCTCAAAATGAGAAATGTGAATAGGGTAGAAATCAAAGGGAGTGGTTCAAAACAATTTCAGATTTTCGGGGGGGGGGGGGGGGGGGGGGGGGGGGGATAACTTACAGAAGAATCCAAGTCACAGGTAGACGCCTTTATCATTGCCGAGTAGTACGTCTCATCCCACGGCTCCAGGTCCTCAAGCATTTGTCCAGTCCTTTGTCGCTTGTAATACCTGAGTCTTCTAAATTCCTATGATATAGACAGTGAGAAGGCCAAAGGTTATAGAAGTCTATTGAGTCATACAAGATCAAATGATAAATCTCAACAGAAAGTCGTAGCCTCATATAATATATATAAATATTTAGTATCCTGTTTTCAATGGCTCATCGTGAAAAGTATAAAGAGACAAAAATAAAAAGGCGAATCGGACTGTATCAAAACACAGTTGCCGAGTCTTGAGTGGCTAGTGATGATTACCTTATTCGCCATCAGTGATAAAATAAAGGGGTTAGGAAAATGTGGGAAGTCATGGTACTGGAGATGATTTGATGCTAGTTTGAAAGAATTGGGTTTTCCAAAGAAGCATCAACCACCAAACACGCCGTCTGATTCTGACATAATTTGAAAGTTTGAAACTGATGTAGACTTCTAACTTTCTTTTGTTATACCATATAAGAACTACCTTAAACTATAAAAAACACCTTCACACTCCAGCATATATACTAACTAGTGCCAGCCACCAATTGATAAAAATATACAATGAGGTGCAAGATTAACCAAAAAATCACCAAAACAAATCAGAATTAGATATCTTCATACCTCATCAGCTTTGGGCTTGACCATGCTACTCAACTCAAACAGAAAGGACATTACAACATCTGCTGATGAAGCCATGTTTGGGCGTGCTGCAAATTCAGCATAAGACTTGTAGCCCATTATCTGCATCCATGAGCGAATATGGTATTAGAAGTATTTTCAACGCCCCCCCCCCCCTCTCACTTCTTCTCCATTTGTCCTTTGCAATGGGTTATTCGAATTGCAAGCTGCAGAAATCTCTAGATTCCAGCTATTTTAACTGACACCAATTTGCTACAGAGTAATAAAAATACATAAATGAGAATATAAGCTCCATGACTCTTCCTTTCCCTAGCAGCTAAATGCACATGGACTAGGTCAACCAGCTAAAGACATGCTCAAATTTATGTAAACAACCTCACCAAATTAAACACTACTGTGGAAGGAAAATAAAATCAGATATTAAAAGGGAAAATAGCAAGACTGCAATTATAAGGAAAGTACCTGTGCCAGTTCATGACGAGCAGCTATTAGCTTGTCAAGTACATTGAGATTTGCATGAGGTGCAGAGTTTCCTTGAATATATGCAAGTTTTCGCACCTAATAGCAAACAGAGTAAGATTTTGTTCACAACCTTTTTCATGGCATGATACAGAAATGCCTCAGGCAAAAAATAAAAAAAAATAAAAAATAAAAATAAAAATAAACAAGCAAATTTGTAGCTCTCATTGACTGCTACTTTCAGCAAATGCTTCATTGTAGATACAAATGGATCCACCAGGAAAAATATGTAACATTGAAGATACTTCCCTTAAGAAATATAAAGGACAATATAGATTTTTCAGGAACTATTATCAGCACAAATATTACAGCTTAATTCAAGGTATTAAATCTAAGCACATAATCTAAAAGCCCATTAGCAGGCACCAAATAGTGCTTTAAGAACTATCCTCTCTAGCACCATCATGATCCCTTACACTCATCCATCAAATTCCTCATTTCCCTTCCAGCTATGAGCACGCCATATTTAAACTTGGAGTTGGAACTGCAAAATCCAATGGTAGCCTTTTGTTGTTGCTTGAAATTCTCCAACGGATGAACTTGCTTGACCATTGGAGTGTGTAGCTGTAATAAACTATCTAGCCAAACCAAACAACCTTGCTTGACTCGGTTTAAGGAAAGAAATTAAAAAAAAATGAGAGCATTGATTTACATCTGGAGTTATCGAACTTGTGCTGTTGATTACCATTAGAGAAGATTTTAGCTGGAATATGGTATATCCATAAATTTTGGTATGGCAAGTTAAGCTACAAGTAGTCCAGCCTAACCACTGGAGATGCCCTAATTAATGACTGGAAAAAACTAATAGCCTCAAGAGGTAAACACATCCTTCAATGGAAGCCAAATCTTCAATGGAACAAAAATTTTCAAAACGATTCACCGTTACAATGCCATTGAAACTACAACAAGCACATCTTTACCTTGGTCCTTGGCTCCTTATCTTCCAGCAGCAGTAGATTTTTAGAGATTCTTTCAAAGCCCATAACAACACTAGGCTAGAATATGGATCAATCATGTTTGTTTTCTGTAGCCATAAGGCCCTCAACACCCAAAAGATAACCAAGAATATGGATCCCCAAAAAGCCTTCCTCCCTTAACTTCTTCTAAATCTGACAAAGTCGCTGCATGAAATAGGATAGAAGCATACCACTAAACATCCATGATAACAGAATAACTACAGTAGAAGCGCTCTCACCACCTCAAAATTTCCCCTCCCAAAACTCCTTAAGCACAACAATACACATACATTGTGAAAATGCACCCGTTACATCACTGAATCTACAGATTATCTTGGAGTCATAGCTTTTCCGAAAAATTCACAGTTTAGCCTCAACCTTTTACGAGACCTTCAATAGCCAGCTTTATATGGCCAAAGTGAAAAGCGTTGCACAAAGAAAATTTTCTCCTGGTTAATACCTAAGATACAAAGTAACATTGTTAAATCTCAATAGCTTTACCAGATTTGAGTTAATATTGAACATATCAAGAGGAAGACAAATTGATTAGGATAAAGTTTAAAAACAAAATAGTCTCTGAGATGAGCACTATAGGGGGTCCAATCTCCAGGATTAAACCCTGTACACGGTTAAAAATAAGACCACTGAATATATTCCTTAAGATTTGGCAACACTATGTGATGAGAAACTTTAGCCTTCAGTATTCAGTTCCTCATAAGGACTAAACCCATAAACTTCTATTTTTCATCTTTTGGTCTTACTGGTCAGTGGTAAAAGTTTTAGTAGATACTGTGCAAATTTATATAGAGCACAAATGCAAAGAAGAATTGGATCATCCTGGAGGATCTGGACTCCTCTTGATGGGTGAGATGGAGTGCTTCAAAAAGATGCAAGTCAGAAATTTGGGTTCTTTGAGCTACCTTTGCTAGAGATTAATGACTATATTATCCCTCATAAGCCTAGTAGGGTAGTGGTGTTCTGGGATTGTGTGTTTCTAAATGGATGATTCCAATTTTACTTTTGGATGTTCAACATGCCCGATTAGCTCTCTGATTCTTCACTTTGTCAAGGAGGTTATGTTGTCCTCTCGATCATAATCATATAGTATAATATATCATGAATTCCCATTTTTCTTTACATTATTTATTATAAATTATGTCACCATGAACTACACCTTTGCCTATAAAAAAACCTTATGTCAGGAATCCAACACTGTTTAAGAATACAAAGAGAAAAAGGAGAGTCAAATTAAAAGAAACACGAGGAATTTATGTTTTATGTTATCAAGATAAATTTCATTGAATTTAAATTCCACAAACAACATCAATTTTAGCCACAGATCGAGAAAAACCAGACCTTTTCATTTGGCACCCACTGTAGAATAGAAGTTAGTGATACGGGATCTGTTGGAATTCGATATCCCTTTTCTTTCACGTCTAACCCCTTTCTTGATGATCCAGCAGGAGAATATACAGGTGTACCAAGATGGTGCATACGCTTTGGAATTAGGGTAGCAGGATATATGTCTACATAACCAGGATCATCCACAATATTTGCATTGAACCTGATGAACATTTTGAGCTCATGAAACAAGTCAGAAGTAAAATTCTTTTAAACAGTAACTTAGTAAAAAAATATGGAAACATGCACAATAATTTTTAAGAGCAACAGTGTCACAGGACACATGCACCCATATACAATGAAATACATGCATAAACACTAAACAGGCACATATGAACTTGTGCATGAAAGCTTGGCCAGAATTAGAGGACATATACGACTAATAAGCTATGCCTATGAGTGGGGAAACAGTTAAAGCTCTAGCTCCGCCAAAACAAGGGGCCGTTAACTAAACTAGGCAAAAGAACAAGTACTAAGACAGATTCGGCATCTTGAAGTTGGGTTTTTATGTGACTGCTCTAATGTGTTTCAACTTTAATTAGATCAGAGGTATGCCCTACAACTGACAATTACAATCTGATTCCCTAAACTGAAATTATGTTAAAAGAACAGCTATTTTAGCAAGTACTCCAACCATTATTTACTATTCTTGTCACTTTCCATTTTAACCCATTCTTTTATGTAATACTTTGTTTTATTCTATTTTTGGACTACCATCTTTACCATCTTACCGCTTTAATTCCACAATAATTATACCTTTTCACACATTCTCTCTTACTTTATTCACCTTGTTCTTATACTCACCCACCTTGTTACATTCTCTCTCTTACTTTATCCCACTTATGTAACACCCACTCACCTTCTTCAATATATTCTTGAATTATCTACATACATAAAAGAATAGAGAGTACATCACAATTTCAGATTTCCTCCCTTAGATAATCATTAGATATGCCCTATATATATATATATAATAAAGGTAAAATGATTATAATTTTCAAATTATCTAGCATGTGACCCTAAGTATATGTAATAAAGGTATAACAATTATAATTTCAAATTAATCTAGCATGGCTCTAAAGTTCTTGTCACATTTGATTTGTTCCTTTTCATGCTATGAGTATTGATGCATCAAATTTTTACATGATGACATCTTATTATACCTCATTATTTCAAGGGTTTTGACTTTTTAACAACTGTACAAGGAAGATCAATCAAGTGGTTCACAAACGACAGGCTTAAATTCTGTGATATTCACACTCTCTTTCCAACAAATCCCAGTTGGAAAGAAAGTGAGAATATCCCAGAGAGTTTCTCCAAAATTGAGTTTCTCCATAATTCTTAGACCATCAATTGCAATCCACATTAAACTCTTCTTTTACTATTCAATAAAATTAAGGATAAAAAAGAACAATTATTAGATAGGTCTTTCTTTGTCTTCTTTGCATTAGAGAGGGAGGGGGAGGGGGGGGGTTAAAAGTTATCCTCATAACTTATTTTCGTCTAATCAGCTCACAAACTAGTAATGAGTATGTCATGCGCCAACCTTGCAGACAAAAACATGTCAAATGATTCAACTTCAGAGTTCCAGTGAGTCAGTGACTATAACATTATAGAGGGATTAGAGGTTAATGCCTTGACGGTATATTATTTTGCATGTGTGCTAATTGCAACCATCTGGTGTAGACTGTAGACTTGTAGAGTACAGTCAATATTCCCATCTTCAACAAGTTTTTTCAACCCCAAGAAAGGGAAAACCGAACCTTTAAATGATCAAAACTATAATAAAACTAGCAGCCATTGACATCATATTACTACTTTACCCCTAGCCATTTCAACTGGACAAAACAGTTGCTGACTATTCCACCCACGAACCCCATATAACGGATATAAGTGCTTCCATATTAAACAACACTTAAAGATTTGTGTAAGAGGCAAAGTACTTTTGGGTGGTTTTGCTGCTAAATTAACAAACATAAGAGACTAAATGCAAAGGAGTTTAACAAATATCCATACGGACCATAACAAATTAATAGAATGACTTACTTGCGGCACAGTTGCGCAATATCCACATTGAGCTGATTAACTCGTTCTAATTTTTCTGCAGATGTAAACACATAACCAGTTCCTTAAGCCAACAGATATGCCTACACAAATAATATAGTGAAATCAGCATTACACAGGTGAAGTACCACTACAGAGATGGATGCCTCCCTTCTCAAAATCAACACGTAAATAATGGGCTGCCCTTTGGGTTTCTGAGTTGGGGATGTTGCCTTCTAGCTCAGCTTTCATCACAGCATTATACAGACAGTGATTTGTATTCAAATACTGCTTTCCATTGGAGACAGAAACAATAGCAAATCAGCAAATTTATAAAAGATCAGGCACCTAAAGAATAATTTGGACTGGCAGTATAACAATTTGCCTAAGAAATAAAAATAAACAGACTATATAGCAAGAATAAATGCTAGGAAAAATATTTTTCAGACTGAGTCTTTTCACATTTTTTCCATTGGAAGGGGGAAAAGAGAAGAAGCAATTTGATAGGAAGAGGTGGAATCAGCATAGAAAAACTGTGCAGAAGTTTTTATATAATGAGACATACAGGTATTTAAAAAAAAACAATAATAAAAGGATATGAATAAAGCAAATGACGGAACCAATAAGTCAATTAACAGTTCGAGCAAACTAGATCTTTAATTTCCCAGAAGAATTGGCATGAACTAGCAGACAAATTAATAGACAATTCTTAAAATAGTCTCCTATGACAAGACATGACAAACCTATCAGTAACCAACTAAAACTATTCTACAGAATATTGTTGTACAACATATATTACTGCATTTCACATGCACACCGCGAAGAAAACAATTTGCTCCTCTCTTTTTGCTCTGATTATAAATTGAAATAAATTGAAAAACAAGAGAAGGGCTAAACAGTAATGAGCTAATCTACAGCCTGAAATCTCTGAAGCATTACCCTTTAATTGGAGTAATGCAACAAAAAAGCAAAAAATTTAAAAGGGTTACGTGAAGTATCTTTCTAGTTACACAGGACATACTAGCAGATATTGTTGAATGGCACAATATTTATCACTTTGCAAGTCTTCTTTCCTCTCCTTGTAAACAAGCATTCCTGTTCTAGCTTATAAATCCTCCACTTACTTTCGAGGAAATCTAAGGCTCCGTTTGGTTTGACAAAATACATTTTCAATGGAACACGCATTTTCAAGGAAAACCATGATTGCAAATTAGTTTTTCATTGCTTGTTTCCTTACAAGAAAAGTAAAAAAGAAATTGAAATTGGGAGTGAATAGGTTAAGATAGATGAGAGTAAAGAAAAAATAAGGGTAAGGAGAAGAAAGGAAGATGTGGCTTCCGTTCTTTTGTAGAGGAAAATGTTTTCCATTGAGGGTGTAATTTTCCTCCATTGGGAAAATTGTTTTTCACCCTTCACAAATCAAACAAAAGAAATGAGGGAAGATAGGAAAATCACTTTCCATGAAATTATTTTACATCAAACCAATCGCTCCCTAAATGAAAATTAATCAAAAAGCCCAACAAGGGAATATTATAGTTAAGTAGGGCCGTCAAAATTACTCATTTCACTGGTTTATGGCTTTGTGTGGAATACGGAAATTATTGAAACGGAAGCAGCCTTACACAGATTTAGATAAAAAAAAATGTCAGCAACATGTGGTAAAATTGTTTCCTATTTTAGATTTTCACAGCTTGTCGCCCTATTTCTGCCATTTCAATTTTACAAAAAACATAACTGACCAAATAATAGTAGTTATTCACCTATATTTCTGAAACTTTTCATTTAGCAAACATGGTAAACAAATAGAACTCATAATTAGTACTCCACACAGCTTTTTGCTATAAATAATTTGAACTTCCTCATTGTATGTCAACTGTTAAGTGCTGTATGTGCAAGCATTAACATTAGAAGGGCCAACTATTCTATGCAATATCGGAGCACACAAATGGCAATTTCACTTTGAAAAATCAAATTCCACATAAACCATGCATTCATTCGTTTACGTCTTCAATGGGTAGGCAAGACATATAAGTTTCTTCAATGGGTAGGCAAGACATATAAGTTTTCGTGATCCATATAATTCAACAAACATCCATTTAAAAAACCAGATAAAAAATAAACCACTGAATAGATTAGAAGTCACCTCACATGTAGATATTCATCCATTCTCATGGATGCAACATTAGCTTGCTCCACAAATTCCCTAAAAAGTCACTCCAATTTTTATTTACTTTTCACAAAATACATAAAATTAACTTCAAATATACCAAGATTCCAAGAATAATAACAAATTTCAAAAATCACCTGTCAGGGTGAGTATGTCTACATAACTCAGCTGAATCCACCACTGAACAAACCTAACAAATCAGAAGAAAAAAAATAAAAATAAAAAAATCCATAAAAAAATTCCATAAAAAAAATCCAAGAAAAAACCCTAAATTACAAGAAAATTAAACTTACAGTGTCGGATATTTCATCCATAGCGCGAATGATTTCAGCAGAAGAAGGCATAGTAGAAATGTAATTGATAAGCTCTCCAGACCTAAATTAGATACAATAAATTGAAATCAAAAATTCAATTTCAAAATCAAATTAGGGCAAAAGTAATACAAACCGTTCAATAGCATCGTCGACGAAACGCTGGAAACCTTTGGGAGTTTTCAAATGAGAGAAACCGTAAAGACCAGTTTCTTTCGCATCAGCAGTAGCGGCAGATGTTCGGAAGGATTGAATGCAGTGTAAAAATGGCTTCGGTCGGAAGAATTTTCTGGAGTAAGAGATGATTAGTGCCGCCATTTTCGAGGTTCTTGGAGAAGACGAATACGAGTTGCAGCGTTTCCAGGAAGAGTGAATTAGTGGAAGCTGATTCAGAAGTCAATCAATTTGACGCTATTTTTTTTTGTTCCTGTTTATTACAAAGAAGGCCTAATCCTTTAAGGGGTTTATAAACGATTTCTATTAATGATGATAAGTGATAAGCCAACACTAAAGAGTAATTTACGAGTAATACAAATTGCTATGGGGACCGTTTGGTTCGCGCGAGATAATCGGAATGGAATGAATAAAAGGAAAGAATTAGAATGGAATAAAAAAAGGAAAAATATAAACTAATAATCCCACCTTTAGTCGGTCTTTCACAAACAATCCCACCTTTTGAAATTCCAGAAATAATCCCACCTTTTGCCCCTATCTTCCATTAACAATCCCTGACCGGTTGGATTGATCAGGTAACCGATTTTCTTAAGTTAAAAGACACGTGTAGGTTTTTAATAGGTTTAGTCCGATTTTTAATAATTAAAAAAAACAAATCTAATTAAAAAAAAAATATAGAAGAAAACCCCCAGCCCCGCCACTAGCCCAGCCTGCCACTGCACTCCTCTCCCCATCCCCGCCCTTGCATTCTCCGGCAACCACCACCCTGAAAACACCACCAGTCGCACACCCCTTCCACAACCATCAATTTCGCACAATCCCGGAGTTCAACGATGATGTAATTCGAACACACGGAGTTTTGAGATTTTTCGTGGGGGTGGGATTTCGTCGGGGTGGTACTTGGGTTTTGTGGGGCTGTAGGCGTGGGTTTTGTGGGGGTGGTGGGTTTTGTATAGGTGGGTTTTGTGGGGGTGGTGGGTTTTGTATAGGTGGTTTTTATGGAGTTTTTCAGGCTAAGGGTTGAGTTTTTAGAGCCAAGAGGAGTTATTTGGGGCTGTGGGTGGTGTTTTCGGGGTTATCATTGGTGTTTTTGGGGCTGTGGGCGGTGTTTTCGGGGGTGTTAGTGGTTTTGGGGGCTGTGGATGGTGTTTATTTTGGAGCTGTCAGTGGTGTTTTCGGGGCTGTGGATGGTGTTTTTGGGGTTGTGGGTGGTGTTTTCGGGGCTGTGGGTGGTGTTTTCGGGGCTGTGGGTGGTGTTTTCGGGGCTGTGGATGGTGTTTTCGGGGGCAGTCAGTGGTGTTTTCGAGGTTGTGGGTGGTGTAATTTGAGTGAGGCTCGGGTTTTGGGGGTGGTGATGGTATTTCGGCGTGGTTGGGGGTTTCGTAGTGGCCTAATGGATGGAGGTGGCGGTAAAGGGTGAGGGTTGGGGTGACCACGGTGGTGGCTGGTGGTCGTGGAAGAGATTAAGTTTTAAAAATAAAGGGAATTTTTTTTTAACCTGTTTAACAGGTTGTAGGTCAAAGGGATTGTTAGTGGAAGATCCCTATCAAAGGTGGGATTATTTCTGGAATTTCAAAAGGTGGGATTGTTCGTGGAAGACCGACTAAAGGTGGGATTATTAGTTTACATTATTCCATAAAAAAATCCTTAATTTTACTATGGTGTTTGTTTTGAATAACAAAGGGAAACAAGCTACCACTTCCACCACCACACAATACCTATTTTAGACCTTCTCCAGCCACCACCATACCACTCACCGCCAATCTCCGAAGCTCCCCCGTCCCTCGCCGGAGATCCCCTCCCCCGAAAAACTCCCCCACTCCCGCAAAAACCCTAAAAACTCATCCCTTTTTCATGTGAAACAACCGACCGACCCTCCTCCCACCCCTTGAGCTTTTAGGGTTTTTGCGGGAGTGGGGGAGTTTTTCGGGGGAGGGGATCTCCGGCGAGGGACGGTGGAGGTGCGACGAGGGTGGCTGGGTGGTGGGGATAGGGTAGGATAGTGGTGGCTGGTCTGGGTATGGTGGTGGTTGGTCTGAGTATGGTGGTGTTGTGGTGGCTAGGGAATGGAAATGGAAAAACCTAAGGGGGGTGGGGAATCAAGTTGGAAGGATTTGGGGTAATGAAGAGGGTAAAGGGAATGGGAAAAAAATGCCAAACAAACAACAACAAAGGGAATCAGGGCAATTGATTCTCATTCCCTTTGATGAATACCCCCAACCAAACAACCCCTTACTATATAATTCCCGAGTTTTACCAATTGTTAATGTAATGGTGATTGGGGGCTGTTCTTGTTATGGAGGACTGCATGTTTGATTCCCGCAACAATTACAATTAGGAGGAGACTGGAATCTAACCACCCAAAACTAAGCTCCGAATTCGGATTAGCCCAAAGGGTGAAATGGATGGAATACCAAAAAAAAAAACATAATTCTCGAGTGTTTGAAATTACATGTGAAATTCTCTACAAAATATAACACAATAATCAATAGTAAAAAAAAATAATTTATATTCCGTAAATAAATAAATAAACAATATAATCCTAGGCATATTAATAATTATGTAAAAAAAAAAAAAAAAAGAATTTAGGAGGGAAAATTTCTTTAAAAAAAATCCACCTTAATAAACAAAGTAGGTAGTAGGTTTACAATTACTCCATAATACTCTGCAAAGCCTCTATCGGTATTAACTGTAATAAAACATTTGTTGGTGTTTTACAAAAAAAAGTAATGACTTAGGTAAATAAATATGATTTATCCGACAATCATTAATCCTATCATATTCCTCATGTGTCAAGCATCCTTTATCGTTCAACTACCCTCATACCAAAATAGTTACGTAATCAACATAATTATCTTAAAACAACCACCTATATAAGAAGATTTGTCTAAAAATTTGCTCGCTCTTGAAACATAGGAACCAAAACTATGAAATATACTATTTTGGTATCTCCCTCTTCTAAGGAAATCCAAGATTTAAATATTCATTCATTAGACCTTCAAGATTACATTTCTTGTTCTTAATCTCCTCATCGAATAAATCATTTAGCTAGTAGCACTAATGTTATACAAAAGTACTTTGTTCAATTTAGAGCATCCTTATCGTAGTGGTAGCCTATAAACTTCGAATTATGTTTCATTTCATTTCATCTTTCATTCACATGATTCCCATCAAATTCACTCTTACCATCTCCAATTTATTTGGTGCTCCACATTATTGTAAGCTTGATAATCAAATTATGCTATCCTTTTGTTTTATACCCGCAAAAATCAAGTGGAGCTATTCCCTCACCTTCCTGCACACATGAGACACATGCACAAAACCCTAAAGTGTTTCTTATTTCAAGCTAAGTGTGAAGTGTCACAAGTTACTAGTGACTTTCTTCAAAAGGAAACTACCCCAAAACCAACATATGCCAATTTCTGGGCGACACTCCATGATGAAATTTATTTCAAACCCGTATAAATTGAGGAGATCAAATAAAGGTTTTTGGATATGTTATTTGCTATGCAATGTGCTTGAGACTCAAGAGTGAGTGGAAGAGGATTTTCAGGTATCTTCACCCCAAAAATCCGTAGTTGATACCTAGTTCACCATTTGGTTGTTTAGTGTTTAGCTTTTTATAAAAGTTATAAAATGTATACATACAAAAAAGCAAATAGAGTAGATAAACGACAGATTAAATAGCGAATATAGAACATCTTAATTATATACTCTACTTACAAGTATATATTGTTTTAATGTGTATTGACTCTTGTAATAGCTTGCAACTCCTCTATAAAAATTAGGAGTTTTAATTCCCTTAAGAGGAAGATCTATTTTCTTTAATCTTATCTCTATAATCCACATCTGCAACATAAGCGACAACTTGAGCTCATCGATATACTTCCACCATTCCCCATTAATCGCAGCAATTGAAGTATCACATATGCATCCCAACACATTAAGTCAACCTTCTAATATCTTCTTATATATACTCGTACAAGTGAAAACCATGTAGTACAAATTGTTGTTATTATGAAAAATATACATCAATCAATATGAAAAAGTTTATATAAGTACTATAATTGATTAAAGATATACTTCTTTCATTTTTATTTAGTTGTCACGTTCAATTTAGGCACACATATTTAGAAGAGGAGAGAGAGTGACAGCGAATGATAAAACAAGTGGAGTAACTAGTTAATGTAAAGTACAAAACTCACCCAAAAAGGAAACGTGTCAACTGAGAAAAAAACTTTCTTTTTTACAAAAACTAAAAAAAACTTTTTAAAAAGAAATACCTGTTAAAAAAAAAAGAAAAGCTGGAGGTAAGTAATTAGGTAAAGATGACATAAAATTAAAAATTAGTGGAAAAGCACAAATACTCGTGGAAAGCACGTTGGTTATAAAACACATTACGTGTGTCCCTCAACCCTTCCATTTCCCGCGAAAATCTCTCTCTTCTAACGGTCTCTCTCTTTCTTTCTCTCTCCTCTGTCTCAGTCCACTCAAACCAGAAATTCCATACAATGTCGATCATATCACAAAACACCCCTTTTTCCCCTCGTTGTCTTTACCCTTATCCTTCCTAAAATTTCGTCACCGTTAATTATGACCGGTTCTCCGCCTTCCACCACCGCTTCCACGCCGTCTACGACGACGAAAATGACGAAAACAAAACTCAAGAAATTCCCTCAAATTCATGTTCCAGAAAACCCGATTAGGGTTTCTGATGACGGTGATGAATTTGATTTTCATAATAATAATTATAAAAATGGCGAGGATGGAGATGATGAGGCGTCTCCGATTGCGCCGTCTATGCTTGGGTTGAATTGTATTCGTACTCGATCAATTCCTCCTCTCATAATTCCGTCGTTAGCTGGTTCTCCTCTTGCTAATAATAGTAGTAAGTCGGGTTCCGAAGATGTTGTTAAGGATGAAGGTAGTAAATGTGGGAGTGGGGAGAGAAGAGAGAATGCTGCTACCAGGAAGAAGTTTGTTGTTCCTGATATTAATTCCCTTTCTTCCGCTGAATTTCTAGGTTTGTTCAATTTTTCGAACAATCTGCTCTTGGATGTGTTGATTTTAATTGTTTGTATTTGATTTTAGATGCTCAGGCATTGGAATTGGATTTTTTTCAATGGGATGTTATTGTTTGAGATCTCTTTAGTTAGCTTGTATGGCATAAATGTTGAGTACTCGGCGAAAAATCACAGTAATTGGCATTTTTATGGTGTGAAAATGGGTTGAATGTTTGTAAATGCCACTTAATTTAGCTGGTAAAGTATTTGGGAAGTTATATTTTAAGGACCTAAGTTATGTTGGGTTTTGCACTACCTAAGTAGTACAATGTTTGTTAAGCTAACTTCTTTTATCGTCGTAGATGTAATATAGTGATAACTTCCAAAAGCAATGCCTAGTTTCGTATTTTGTTTGTCCAAATTGAACTGCCCAAATGACATAAGTAACGCGGTACTTAGGTACTTTGATTTAGATTAAGGAGTCCAATCATGGTGTTTTACAAGATAATGTGCTTATCATAATGTGAAAGTTTGGAATATATATTGAATGTGCCTTGTGTAAAACAAGATTTTTGTGAATTTTTTCTCAGTCATATTAGCCCCTCCCTTAAAAAGCTAAAATCTATGAAAAGCTAGAGGCAAACATAATCCGAAGATTGAAGACTTAGCATTTGTATTGGTATCTATTGCTAACTTGGTAAATGTGTTTGTTCTTAGGCAAAAAGGTTACTTGGAGTCAGTCGAAGTCACTTAAGTTTTCATCACCCACAAATGCTGGTCTTGAGGTAATGGATGCATTCTTGTAAATAGTTTTGGCAGCTTTAAAAAACTACTTGACTCCTCCCACTTCTGTATCTCTCCATTTAATGTAGTTGGTCTAATTTCTTGCCATTCATGCTTTTATTTTTTCAGGGAAATGCATCACTGATAAAGGAGATGCAGTCTCCACGTTTCCAGGCGGTTTTGCGTGTTACAAGTGGTCGTAAAAAGAAAACACCAGATGTAAAAAGCTTTTCTCATGAGCTTAACTCTAAGGGAGTTCGTCCTTATCCCTTTTTGAAGTCCCGAGCATTTGGTCATATGGAGGAGGTTATGGTAATGATCAGGGAAAAATTTGATAATCTGAAGGAGGAGGTCAATGTTGACTTGGGGATCTTTGCTGCGGATTTAGTTTGTATACTTGAGAAAAGCACAGAGTGTGAATCAAATTCGAGGGAGGGATTGGAGGATCTATTACTTATATCTCGTCAGTGTGCAACTATGTCTTCAGAGGAATTTTGGTTTAAGTGCGAGATCATTGTTCAGGATCTGGATGATCGCAGACAAGAACTACCAATGGGTACGCTTAAGCGTGCTCATTCTCGCCTTCTCTTTATCTTGACTCGTTGCACTCGACTTGTTCAATTTCAGAAGGAGAGTGGCTATGTAGAAGAGCACATTTTGAATCTTCACAAGCTGAGTGATCTTGGAGTCTATCCAGAGAAAATCCCTGGGTTAGAAAGTATTGACTCTGACAATACACTTGCTGAGAAGGATAGAAGTGAGAAGCTGCGGAAGAAATCAGATAGACAGCAACCCAGTCTGACATTGAAACATGATCATCTATACATTAGTGGTGCTGATGGGGCTGAGGTTGGCACGGCCAGAAGTCAAGATTCAACGACAAGTAGCTATAGAATGTCTTCTTGGAAGAAGTTTCCATCTGCTGCTGAAAAAAACAGGAGAGATCCTGATGCTGTAAACACACCATCTAAGGACCAGTCAGGTGCCTTTCACATTAAAGATGAACCAATAGGAACTCCTGGATCTTGTCCAGGAAACACAGATACATCTGTGGGAGGAAAAGTTGTTTGGGGAGACCAACAACAGATTACTTATGAAAACTTTATAGTCTGCCGCATTTGTGAGGTTGAAATACCAATTGTGTTTGTGGAGGAGCACTCTAGAATCTGTACAATTGCTGATAGATGTGATCTGAAAGGATTAACTGTAAATGATCGGTTGGAGAGAGTTGCAGAAACTCTTGAGAAAATATTGGAATCCTGGACGCCAAAAAGCACTAGCCCTGATATGACTAGAGTATCCACCTCCAGTATGCCAGAAGAGCTGGATGGGTTGTCACCTAGGAAAAATGACTTGTCCTACAAATTATCTGATGAGATGCTCGATTGTATTCCTGAAGCTGAAAATTGTTTTGCCATGTATGATCTGAACTTCTCTCCAGGCATTTCATGTGAGACTCATTGCTCTCCTGACGTCAATAAGATGACTTCATCAGCAGGAAGCTCGACACCAAGATCACCATTAACACCACGTACAAACCAGATAGAATTGCTACTGCACAAAAGGAAATCAATATCTGAGCATGAAAACAATCAGCAGGTGCAAAATCTGTTTAGAAATTATTCTCGTCTTTCAAGATTTTTTTCAACTGAATCTTGCCATGGATTTGGCTTCTTCCTTTGCCCTAGAATTATTGTGGTAGCTTGATTATTAGTCTGATAGTAACCTCAGGTGTGTCAGGTCTACCTGAAAAAGGAGTAGTTCTGAGGTGAGTGAGGTCATTGGTGCTGAACTACAGAAATGAGAATAGTGTGGTCATTTCTTGGCCACTACATTGCTTGAGTAGATGGAGTGTTAGAAGACCCTTCCCATGTTTTAATCTAATCGTATTGTATGTTAATTTGTTTTTGACCTTTATCCACTTGCATCAGTCTATTCTTCTATAACTTTAAATGCCACATTCCTGAGTCCAGATCAGTCTATATTGGCTCGCTGTTTTGCTTAAAAAATGAAACGATACATATAACTATATTTTTTTAATAATCACAACCTCAGATGCCTTGCCATTTGAGAAACATCTTTCGTTTTATTCTTGATTCAAATTACTGACAAGACCACAAATATGCAGATTAAGAAGCTACTGGATATTGCTCGTTCTATTGCCAGGGTAAACAAACATGATTACAGCACATTGGAGTATATGATTGACTGTCTTGAAGACCTTAAGTATTCCATCCAGGATAGAAAAGTTGATGCTCTTGTTGTTGAGACGTTTGGAAGGCGCATAGAGAAACTTCTGCAGTGAGCTTAACAACTTAATTGAACTCTTATTCTTTTGCGAGACATAGAATACATCCACATTTTAATGATACATGTAGCTTTAATCTTATTGTTTAATACTTTACCTTATAGGCTTATACAGTACTTTTGTTCTTCTTGTTGTACGTATTATTAGGGAGAAATATGTCCAACTATATGCCCAAATAGAAGATGAAAAAGTCCACTCATCTCAAACATTGGCCGATGAAGATAGTTCAGTGGAAGATGAAGCCACACGAAGTTTACGAACAAGTCCAATTAATACAAGTACCAAGGACAGGACATCAATAGAAGATTTCGAAATAATTAAACCAATTAGCAGAGGAGCATACGGACGGGTTTTCCTTGCTAGGAAAAGAGCAACTGGTGACTTATTTGCTATAAAAGTGAGAATTACTGCTTTATGAGTATTCAGATTTGAGAAAAATAGGTTACTCTTTCTAAACTGCTCTTCCACTATATAATTTTAGTTATTATTATGTGGGAAATCTGTCTTCAGTCCGTGTCTCAAACTGCTTAGGTTTTGACATGAAGGGTGTACTTATTTAGGTAAGTGGGGTGGGGGAGTGGCAAGGAGGGAGTGACTCAGTTTCTTAAGAGTCATCTTTTAAATTTTTTTTTTTATTTTTTTATTTTTTTATTTTTTACCAATTTAGTTTACACCTATGCAGATACTTGATTATCAGGACTTAGGATTGAACAAAAATAATATTCTATGTCCTTCCTAATGGGAAGAAACACATGAAATTATTTAAAATATTCTGACAAAAAACTATTGAAAATGCTGTTTGAAATCTTCAGATATATTAGGAAAATCAGGATGGTGAAAGCTGCTTTATAGTTTTGGCTGCATTTTATGTCTTTTTTATCATGTCTGACCACCAATACTTGTTTTATGATTAGAAAAAGATATATACTACTACATTATCACTTTTTTGAATTGCATGTTGCTTTTCTTGCTTCCGTATGCTGATATCAATTTTGTCCATATATTTCTTCAGTTATTAGTAAATCTGAAAACAGTTTAAATAAGGGAAAATTGTTGTCTAAGGTTACAATAATTGAGGTAGAATGATGGTAAGTTCCTACAAGTGTCATTTGAGTATATTTTTTCTTCCATTTTCCGGGATATATTCTTTTTTAATATGCTGGAAAATTGAAGGAGTAAATGCAGATGATAGCATATGATACACTCACTCATATGAGCTACCTGCGAGGAATCTGCTTGTTACCTCTTGAATCAACGTCATCTAGAGGATACTAAGGAGAGTGTATGTGAAAACAAATGCATTAGGATTTTCATTGGAGAATTAAAGCCTTATCATAGATCCTAATAGCCTGTGTATCTAAACTTCACAAATTTTACGGAATTTAGACGCCTTATCTTTTGATGGCTACTCTAGTCTACTGCCGATAGTGAATTTAGTAAGTACGAAGATAGCTGATATAGGCAAAAATCTATCTCTTTGAGGTAAGGTTGGGCATTTGATTGTATAATAATAATTCTTTATGGAACTAATAAGAGAGAATACAGAAGCAAGTGATTGTCCGATTAATCGGGTTGCTCACATATTTGAAATTTAACATCACCACCATTTTCTCTTCATGTATTCCTAACTTTCTATTGAGACAAAATATGTTTTCTCATAAATTCCTGTGTGTAGGTTAATTTAACAATGTTTTGTTGTTGTTGTTCTCTGGTTCACCCCAACCTTTTTTTAAAGAACGGTTCACTTACTTGGATGTCATGATCATTCTTTCAGGTTTTGAAGAAAGCTGATATGATCCGTAAGAATGCAGTAGAAAGTATATTGGCTGAGCGGAATATTCTGATAACGACACGAAATCCTTTTGTGGTAGGAAGGGATTTTGCAGCTCTGCTCTTTTTTTTTTTAAAAAAAAATAAAATAAAATACAGATGTAAACAAGTTCTCTAATTCACTTTCGTTATCTGATGATGAGCAGGTCAGGTTCTATTACTCTTTCACTTGCAAAGAAAATCTTTACCTGGTAATGGAATATTTAAATGGAGGTGACCTTTATTCTTTGCTAAGAAATCTTGGATGCTTAGATGAAGATATGGTTCGTGTTTATATTGCTGAAGTTGTAAGTATGCTTCACCTCCTTTTCTGCTACAACTCTGCTTAGGGTAGTCTTATGTAATACTTCGTATTTCATGTTTTTACACCAGCATTGTATATCTCTTAGCTGTCTTCTTTTCTTCTTTCCTATTGACCCCCTTCATTTCAGGTTCTTGCATTGGAGTACTTGCATAAACTAAATGTTATCCATAGAGATCTGAAGCCTGACAACTTGTTGATTGGCCCTGATGGTCACATTAAGGTCAATGTCTATTTTCAATATAACTTTTACCTGATGATTTAGCTCTCATTGTTTATTGGTTAACTGGAGATATGTTTAACTATTGTGATACTGAATTGCTTAGGTTATATGGAAAAGCACAAGAAAGATAATATGCATCTTCCCCTCATATATTTTATACTGTAATGTTCTATATCACGAAGCACAGGCAATGTTTGGGCACACAGAGAAAAATGAATAAGGACAGTAGGAAATAATTCTTAGAACTTGTTTTCTCCTCATTATATTAGTATACTATAACTATAATACTTCTGTCATGCTTTATGTCTGTACCTTTATGTACATAATACAGTTGTTGAAGTATGTTATTGTGCTTGATAATGTTAATTGATTTCTTTTGTCATTTCTCACAAACCTCTTATGCCTACTGCTGCAGTTGACAGATTTTGGGCTTTCTAAAGTTGGCCTTATCAACAGTACTGATGACTTATCAGGTCCATCAGTTGGCAACTCTGGGTTTCTGGGTGATGAGAAAGCTGGTTCTGCATTTGATCAATCACCAAGAGAGCAACGTCAGAAACACTCTGTTGTTGGAACTCCTGATTATTTAGCACCAGAGATACTTCTTGGAATGGGACATGGTCTGAAATGTCTCGTTTTGCCTTTATTTATGCTGTAATAGTTTATTTCTTCCTCTTTATTCTGCTTGTTTCATGTCCCTTAAATCAGACTTTACAAATTTATCCAGGTGCAACTGCTGATTGGTGGTCTGTAGGTGTTATTCTCTTTGAGCTGCTAGTAGGAATTCCTCCATTCAATGCAGAAAGCCCTCAGGTGACTAGTCAGTTCATATATGGAAATGGTTTCTTAATTGATCTGGTTGGCAGTACTAATGATAAATGTTTCGGCCTTCATGGCGGTTATTTGCCCATGAGTCGGGCAGTAGTTGTTTAATGGATCATTTGCTAAAGTCATCAACATATTATGTAGAATTGAAAATTATCTTTTAATCTGTCAAATTAGCAAATAGGTGGCCTAGCAAATTACATACATTAGCTATAGCCTCCACTAATTCGTTGGGATGCTTGCATTGTTCTCTTTGGCATCATTTACTCATGAAACGATAAGTTTGCCAGGATGCTATTCATACCTATTGTTGAGACTGGACCGTTGCATTGAGATATTTTCTTGGCTCCATCCCTTTAATGAAATTTCTGTCATCATCGTGATTTAGGTTTCTTTGCATGTTGTAATTGATGTCTCCTTTTCTCATTTCAGAGAATTTTTGACAACATTATGAACCATGATATCCCATGGCCCAAGATACACGAGGAAATGAGTTATGAAGCATATGACTTAATTAACAAGTAAGTTTTCTGTCTTAATTTGGTCTTGCCCCCCCCCCCCCCCACACACACACACACCAAACCTAAACTATACCCCAAGCCCATTTGAATCAAAATATTTCTCAAACAATCCAACATATCCCCCAAAGTCCCAAACCAACTGGGATTATGTGGGAGTGGGAACACACATTTACACCAAATTTTAGCTAGCAAACAGGTATCTACTGGAGTATTACTATATACCCTTCTTAGTATATAAATTTTTTATTCCTGAAGACTTGTTACAACCTAGAGTATGCAGACATGCTACAGCCTACAACTCGCTGAAATGCTGTAATGTGTTTGTAGCTGAATACTAAATGGTATTTGTGCATTATACCCCAGCAACTTTCCACGGCTATAACTGAAGATGATTAAGTAATGGGTGATTTTGTTTTAATTGTATTTTTTCCTATGACAGATTATTGATAGAAAATCCTGTTCAACGACTAGGAGCTACAGGGGCCAGAGAGGTAACAGAGTTTAACTTAGCTGCTTAGATTCTGTGGGCAGAATTTTTGAATGTGGAAATTTAAGATAGTTGGAATTGATCATACAGGTGAAGTTACATCCTTTCTTCAAGGATGTTAACTGGGATACCCTTGCGAGACAGAAGGTACCGTTTGAATCTCCTCTTTTTAAATAACTATCAGGTAGGTAATCCATTGTTTGTCTAATGACGTGTCTCTTTGTAGGCTATGTTTGTACCTTCAACTGAAGGTGCTTTTGATACTGGCTACTTTATGAGCCGCTATGTATGGAATCCGGAGGAAGACCAAGTATTTGGAGCTAGTGACTTTGATTACATGTCTGAGAGTTGCAGTGATACTTTTAGCAGTGGAACTTTTAGCAATGCAGCTGATGAAGATGTAAGTTTAACTCTTTTCTTTTCAGTGTAATAAATGTTTTAACCAGATTGCACTTGTGTCTTTGATTAATTATCTTTTCTGATATGTGCGAACCAGAGAGATGAATGTGGTAATTTGGCAGATTTCGGAAATAGGGACCTAACAGTGAAGTACTCCTTCAGCAACTTTTCCTTCAAGGTCAGATATTCTTAGTTGCTTCGATCTGTCCCATTAAAGATATGTGTAACTACGTAGCTTCTTGTTACTGTACCTTTATAAAGAACTATTTTTTGAAATATAACTCTTATGGAAACAGCATCCCATTGTGATTTTATTTGTTTTTAGTTTAACTCGTGCTTATTTGTTGATTTATTTATGTAACAGAACATCTCGAATCTGGCATCTATTAACTATGATCTGGTAGTGAAGAGCATTAGGGAAGAACAAGATCAATCTGAGCCTTCCATGCGATGACAAACTTGAGAAACATTATACTAGCTACTTATTGGATTAACAGCTGAAACATTTTTGTCACGGACTTCATGTTAACACTCCTAACTCTCTGCTAATACTCGAGGGGAAAAAAAAAAAGCTCTGTTCGATTTCACGGTTCAGGAGAAGAGTCTCCAGCAATTGAAGATGCAAAGTGTCAAATCTGCCTTGTCCAGGTCTATAGGAGCTCTTTGTCCCTAAAAGCCTCCCTAGACTGAGATATTTGGTCCATTCTGGAGGTTCTATTGTTGTAGTTTCCTTGTAACATTAATCAGTTATAGCATAACAGGAAATGGGAACTTTTTAGTGCTACAAAATGTGGATACTTTCTTATCGGCCAAGTAAGGTTCTCCCTTGTAAATAGAATCCTGTTCGAGTATATGAAAATTTTGCATTTTTGCACATTGCTAACTTGAACTTTAACCTAACAACTAATATGAATGCTCATCATCAGCTTGTACATATTTTCAATGCAATATAACTATAAGTAGGGTTAGCCTTGGCCTTTTATCGCCCTATGGAAAATTAAGCGATGAGAAATTTCTAATTAATACGAAGTATAATCAAACATGTATTGTTGACTTGTATATATATTAGTGACAAATCCCTATTCAACATAACATTTGTGTTTTGTATATTTCGCATTTATAAATTTTAAGAAAATTATTTAAATTTGGTGGGAGTAGAAGATGTTCTGGGTGCGAATTTTTGAAAATTGCAATTGTTGATAGTGTTTTTTTACTGGGGTGATGGTTTTGAAATTTGGTTTGCCAAAATAAGAAGTGTCAACTAATAAGAACAGTTTTTAAAAAGTTGGCCTATGCAGGTCTCGAACCTGCGACCTTCGCGTTATTAGCACGACGCTCTAACCAGCTGAGCTAATAGGCCTATTTGTTAAATTTGTATATCTTAAACTACATTTCCAGAAAATACTTTTACGTATGCATCCTAACTGTTCGACGAAATGTCTCAGTGAAACTCAAGGCGGAAACAAATTATGAAAACAGTCCCGCAAATTTGCATCCAAACACACTTGCAATTAGAATAATGTTGAGACGCATCTCTTCTCATCTCTCTCCTCTTCTTCGAACCCCCAATTCATCTCTTGTTTCCTATGTCAATCAGGTACATTTTTTTGGCCTTTTCTGTTATCTTGCTATGCTTAATTTCTGGGTATTCTATATTTTCATTGATTTTTGAAAGAAATTTGGTTTTTAATTCATAATATATGATTTTGTTTGGGTTGAATGTATTGGGTTTTGTTAATCTTAGCTGGAAATACATTAATAAATGTGGAAAAAGTAAACCAATTTGGAAAATAAAAGTAGAAATATTGAAAAAGTAGACTTTTTAAGATTGATGAGCTAATGATTCATTGCAGATTGACTGTTTGATTGGAAATTATGTCAATGGCAATTTTTGTAATTGTGGATGGTTCCTTTTTTATCTGGGTACTAGTTTTTTTGAGAGCCTTGCTTTGAGCTTCACTGTTGAATCCCATATTTTTGTTTTGAGTGATTTTTGAATGGGGTAATCTATTTGTTAGATCTCGATTAAATTAAGTTTGGTAAAGATAACTATGGGTATCATCTGAAAATGCAGTATCTAAGATCCCTTTTTTGAGTTTTTCTGTTTGGACATGAAGAGAATAGGTTTATTAATAATGTTATGCTTTAGTGGACTTGAGAGCATAGTGTACTGTGTACATGCTCTTGACTGATGTGGTAATGATCAAAGGGAGAAAGAAGGGTCTATCTTTAGATTGCCAGCGGTTGTCACTAAAGTTGCGAGTACATGCTCTAACGTGCACCTAATTTAGTCATGATAGGAGGTTTATTGTTGTAATTGTATGAAGTTGTGAGCTTCATAAGGAAACTAATAGCCTTCAGGTCTATTCTCTAAGAAATAGTTCTTTTCCGGTGCTTCAGCGCATTTTTTTTTTCATGCTTTATATAAGCTAAAGGGGTGGTTTTTAAGTTATGTGTCCAAGAGTTAGTCTCGGCCAATTGATTAGTTGCATATTGTCACGAACCTTTCATTTGGTAAGGCTGAGCTTATTGATTCATCAATATATCTTTACCAATCATTTTATTCTTCAAATATGGTGACACTTTTTTTCTTTTTTCAAAAGGGTTTTAGTAATTCAAAGTAAATATCCTAGAGTAAAATATATGGAATTTGGGATGCTTAATTTGGAGATGTTGTCTCAATGAGACTAAGAAAGTTATGAGGAAGTACTAACAAGGTGCTTCTAGCTTGTTTGTTTTTTTTGGAGGGAAAGGTGCTTTTGGGCTATGGATGCTTGATTCTCAATGCTCAGGACTACTATGGGACTTAAACTTCCTCTCTGCCCCTCACCCAGCCACTTGCACTGCTGCACTGGGCATTAACTTATGCTGCTGTAAAATTGTCAGTGGCCTCTTTTGCTTGGTAAAATATTATAGAAGGTGGCACTCTACTAGTTGAATAAAAGGGGTGCCCCCGGGGGTTGGGAGGTGGGGGTGGGCGGGTGTGATATAGCTGAATATAGTCTCAGTAGGAACAGGTTTTTAGAGCAAGTAGAGACATACATTTATCCATTATTATCAGTAAGTCATGAAGTATGTAGTAACTATGCTGTTGTCTTTATACAGAATTCTACACGAATATTTCAATATTATAATGGTGTGGTATATTGTGGTTGGTAGTTCCCACTCAGAGCTCCTTCATGTGCCATTTCTGACTATCACTTAACGAAGTTTCTAAATTCTTGTTAGCATCTTTCATTAACCTACCTGACTTGCTTTTTCACAAAACTCAGGCTTCTCACTGCTTAAGGATGCTGGAAACATTTAGTACGGATACCACATTCCCGGTAATTTGTGATTACTGAATTTTAGCGGTAAACTTTGTGATGAATTATACTGCATTACCTTTTGTGATTGATGGATACAAGTATACAGATTTTTTTATAATGGATCTTGCTTGAGCAGGGTGGCTTGCCTATAGTTAAAAAGTATCAAGCTGATAGTGTGTTTAGCCTAAACCAATATCAGTGTTTAGCATTTACTTTTGTCTTATGGGCAGAACCCCTAATCATTCTTGTTAAAAATTATATATGATGGGCTATCTTTTTATGTTGACGGCACATTTGGTAAGTGGCCATATATTTTGGGAATATTGCTGAAAGACTCCATCCCTAAACGTGTGTTTTTCTTCATAATCTTCCATAACCACTCAATACCACTCCAAAGTGGTATATATTATACGGTAATGAAAATCAATGAAGATTTGAGATATTTGGGGATGGACACACATTAACATGGACATTGGCATGAGATTTTCTTCCCATATTTACTTAAAATGATTAGCAGCACCACCATTTATTACCATACCAGAGTCTGTGATGGTTTCTATCTTCTAGTGGTGTCAATAAACATTATCCTACTTAAATCACTTGGATAGTTTGCATCCCCTGGGAGTTGTGATGGGCTATATTATTCATTTGTTTGCATACATTGAACTGTTTGTGGCCTTAAAACTGTAGCTATATGGTTATGACATAAATTTCAAGTGTTTATGCTTGATTTTTCTTATCTGCTGCAGGTGCAAGGTCGAATTTTGTCCAAAGAGAAGCCACAATTCGTAGCTTTTGTCCTGGGTAGTACTCATGGTTTATTTATGGCCATATGTTCTTGATCCTAGAGGGTGTACAATTGACAATCAGAAATGTTAATATTTTTTATGTGCATTATTAATTGGCTAATTGTTATGCTCATAGGTGGTCCTGGAAGCGGGAAAGGTACGCAGTGTGAAAAGATTGTGGAGACATACGGATTTACACATTTGAGTGCAGGAGACCTGTTAAGACATGAAATATCCTCTAAAAGTGAACATGGGTACTACTACATTTCTCTCATTAACTGATTGTATGCTCTTGATATTTACCTTGTAAGTAACTTGCAAAACTTGAGTTTCAGGTCGATGATTCTTGAAATCATCAAAGAGGGAAAAATTGTTCCTTCAGAGGTTACGGTCGAGTTAATCCAGAAGGCTATCAGTTTTCCAGATAATCAAAATCACAAGTTCCTGATTGATGGATTCCCACGAACTGAAGAGAATCGGTTGGCATATGAGCGGATCGTGAGTCTCCTTTTCTTTCTGTAAAGGCTGGCTTTTGTGCAATTTTTGACCTGTTTTCCTATCTTCTCCACTCTCTCTAATGTAATAATATTTTTTTGTTTGTTTGTTTGTTTCTGTGAGTCTAATTTTTTTATATGTCCTGTTTCTGATGCAGATTGGAGCTGATCCAAACCTTGTGCTTTTTTTCGATTGCCCTGAAGAAGTGATGGTGAATAGAATCTTAAACCGTAATCAGGTGCTTTGAATTTTAAGGTTAAAAATCTAGTTTGCTATTTTATTTTATTTTCTTTTTTTGGAAGCTCATGTAATGAGTAATGTCTCTTCTTTGTTGTAGGGAAGGGTTGATGATAATGATGAAACAGTTAAAACTCGTCTAAAAGTATTCAAGGAATTAAGTCTTCCTGTTGTCAAATACTACTCCAAGAAAGGGATACTTCACACGGTAATTATTGACATATTATTTGCCTTTTGGAATAAGTCCAAGTTGTAGCTGTAAATAGTAGTGAGCCAGTATTTTTCTGGTGTTGTTTGTTGCAGAAATTGTGTTTTGTATAGAGCACCATGGGGCTGTGACACTGATAGCACATACGAAGTATCTATTATTCCTTGCTTTGGTACTACGTGGTACTTTTAAGTAGGTTTTTGGTTGAGGATCATAGTAACCCAAAAATAATTTATTTTGTCTATGCAGATTGACGGAGTTGGAACTGAAGATGAAATATTTCAGCAAGTTCGTGAGGTTTTTTCTGCATATGAGGTATTTCCATGGGGATGGGTGTCCGCATTAGGCATGTTCTAGATAAGAGGGATGGCTTAGAGCTCTTTTCCTCTTGACAAACACAACATTCTTAGGAAGAAACTTAACACTCCTTTAAAATCACTCAATAGGATTTATGCATGAACCTTGACGATTTGAAAACTACATTACAGGGTTCTTTTGTCCTTTCCAGTATATGCAAACGTAGCCATTAAATCTGATCCTCCCCTGCTAACTCTGACTATTTCTTGCCATTTTCCTATGTTATCATGTATATTCTGGCTTCTGTGAGCTTCCTTTCTGTGCTTTTCTATAATTTTAATATTTCTGGTCTTTAATTGGCAGCCAATAATTAGATGATGGCTCAATGAAGAAAGAATAATGAAGTGGATCCTTTTTTTTTCCCAGACGGATGCTGCTGAAGAAGAGGATGCTGCTTGACTCCTGTAATTCTGAGAAGGTCAACCAGTCTCGTTTTCGAGCTAAAATTACAAGTTTATAGCTTGCAGGATAATGTCACTTCCTTCTCAAGACAAGAGGGATCAATACTCGATAGATACTTTGGGAGTAGATGAAATCATCTATCCCCAATTCTGCTTCCATCTCAAGTTAGGGAGTGGATAAAAATTACAAGTTCAAAACTGAAAATGAAATACTTTGTATAGATTTTATCAGTTTTACATGATAATTTTCCATTACATTGGGAATTTGGGAGGAGTGGATGATTTTTATGATTTGTCCACTTCCATCTTTTGTGCCTTTTCTTTTTCATAGGCCATATTATAAGTCTATATTGCAAATCTTGATGGTGCAGACTTATTGTCTGACATTCAACTGGTAAATTGTTCATCTTTGCTGACACTGGAATGCTTCATATCTATGCTAACTAATTTATCTTTTTGTCAACTGTCTCAACACATTAACAATAACTCAAATTTGTACAAGAATTTACTAGTTTTATCCTCGTGCATGCTTGGTTTTGTGTTAATATTCTGTATAATTAACTTGTCCATCCTAAATTTTTGATGATTTAACCGACTACTATACGACCAGCATATTAATACGGTGACTAATCTGACTACCAGGTTAGTAATTTTGTTACTATTACTATGGCAATTTATAATTGTATTATTCTTAAAACTAAAGTTAATTTATTAATACAAGAGACCATCTATATTAGAGCACAAAACAATTTGGATCAGACAAAGTTCTAATTTGACAGAACTCGAGATTTGACATTGATGAATACACTTTCACATTGTTAAGAGTACAACTTTCGAGTACAACTTTCTATTACGAGTTTTCCTATCTCTTCATATTGTTAGCTTGATTTTCTTTTTTGATAGGTTTTTGTTATCTTGCAAAAATGCTGGCAACTTCAGCATCTTCAACTCCTACCAATTCCTATTCTTTAACTATAAATTCTATCTCAAACAATAATCTTAAGAAACCCAGAAAACATAAACCAAGATACGATAACCCACATCTAACTAATCCTAACAAAGGCAACAATCTTTCATTTTTAGCTTCATCTTCAACCCCACTTCTTCCAATCAAACAAATCCCAGAAAATCAAACCAGAATTCAAGCTCTTGATGCAGTCATTCGTGATCTTGAAGAAGCAAGACTAAAAAATGGCATCATTGTTGATACTCAAACTTATTGTTCACTTCTTGAAACTTGCTTCCGATTGAAGGCCGTTGATCATGGAGTTCGAATTCACCGCTTAATCCCACAAAAGATTTTGAGCAAAAATGCTGGGGTTGTGTCAAAATTGCTCAGGTTGTATGCGACGAATGGCCGTATCGAGGAAGCACACCAACTGTTTGATAAAATGCCTAAGAGAGATGACTCTGCTTTTGCTTGGAATTCTCTTATTTCTGGGTATGCTGAGTTGGGTTTGTTTGAAGATGCTCTTGCAATTTACTTTCAGATGGAAGAAGAGGGTGTTGAGCCTGATAGGCATACTTTTCCTCGAGCTTTGATGGCTTGTGGTGGAATCGGATCGATTTGTGTTGGGGAGGAATTACATAGACATGTTGTTCGATATGGATTTTTCAATGATGTGTTTGTGTTGAATGCTCTTGTAGACATGTATGCTAAATGTGGTGACATTGTGAAATCTAGGAAAGTATTTGACAAGATTGTTTACAAGGATTTGGTTTCGTGGAATTCGATGATACTAGGCTATCTTAACCATGGACTATTAACAAAGGCAATGGAGATTTTCCATGACATGCTTAACGCTGGATATGATCCTGATCATGTTACCATATCAACAGTTGTCTCTAGGATTTCGTCGTTGATAATTGGAGGCCAAATGCATGGTTGGGTTCTTCGTCGAGGTCTAGAATGGAGTTTGCCTATCACAAATTCTCTGATTGTTTTTTACTCCAATCATGGCCTTTTGGATCAATGCCGGTGGTTGTTTTCCCACATGCCAGAAAAGGATATTGTCTCGTGGAATTCCATCATATCTGCTCATAAAAATGATCCTCGAGCATTAACATATTTTGAGCAGATGGAGAATACTGGTGCAACACCTGATGCCATCACATTCGTTGCTCTGTTATCAGCTTGTGCACATCTAGGTTTGGTAAATGAAGGGGAGTCTTTCTTCTCACTGATGACAGGCGAGTATGAAATCACCCCGATGATGGAGCATTATGCTTGTTTGGTAAATCTTTACGGAAGAGCAGGGTTGATACATGTAGCTTATGACATTATAACAAGGAAAATGGAGTTTGAGGCTGGTCCAACAGTATGGGGAGCTTTGCTGTATGCTTGTTTCCTACATGCCAATGCAGAAATAGGCGAGCTTGCTGCTCAGCATCTTTTCGATCTGGAACCCGATAATGAGCATAACTTTGAACTGCTAATAAGGATTTATGACAAATTGGGTCGATCAGATGATTCTGAAAGAGTGAGAACAATGATGGTAGACAGAGGTTTAGACTTATAGATAGCATGAAAATTTGACTGCTTTATACTCTCGGATGATGATGGTAGACAGAGGTATATCCAAACCTCCCGTCTAGTTTCTCTGCCCATGTAGCCGTCCAGTTACCAGAGAAAATTCCGATTCATGGTAACGTACTGGCCGAATCTAGCTTGCAGGAAGATCATTGTTGCATGCTGTTTTGTTCTTTATTACTAATATTACAATGTATTATACTTCATTGCTTGTAACGCTGAACTGTACATAATTGGAAAGTTACTAAAAAAGGCTATTCGAATAAGATGTGATTGTTGTATGGGATGCTGAATACCTTTTGCCAATATTGGAAAGTTGTTAAGAAAGTCTATTCTAATAAGATGTGATTGTTGTATGGGATGTTGAATACCTTTTGTCAATAATCAACTATCAGACTGCACGTATATCTACCCATTACTTTGCTGAACCATTAAGATTTAAGAAGGTTAGGAAGAAGTTGGTCTATGTCTATACTAAGTACGGAGTACCAGAAAGTCAAGCCCATCTATGACTCTATGAGAGTATGCGACTATGACAGTGGGATTGTACCACCTAGACACTTGAAATTCCAAAAGGTAGTTTTATAGTACTCGTGTTTGGTTCAAGTCGGGTTAGATAGTTTGATTCGGATCAAATTATCAATTCGGGTCAAAGATTATCAACTCTATTTATTGTATATTAGTAAAATTTATTTGTCATTATATTAGATTCGTTTTGATCGAACACTATTTACTAGTCCTTGTATTATCAGGAACACCATTTAATGATTTGGCAAGGGCAGTATTGTAGTCTATAGTAATACGTGTAAATTTGTTATGACCCTAATGATCTACTTCTTGAAGCAATCATGATGCTGCTTAGCGTGAAAAACAGCCAAATAGTTATAATTAATAATGATTAACTCCGTAATTCAAAAGCCCCCAAAGCAATTAAGTTCATACACTGTGGACTGTTCTAGGTCGACTTAAGGCATCATTGTAATTGAAAAATGGACACTCTTGATTGGCATACACACTTGACAAAAACAAAAGAGTTAAAACTTTTGAAGTTGCACTGCTTGTACAAATGCATAACTAACGAAAAAATGAAAGAAGTTGTTTATCTAGTCTCTTAGTGTCATGTAAGACCTCCCACATGCAATTTTGACTTTTTAGTAATGTAGTGGCAATTTCCAATAGTCTAAGTACCTAAGATTGCAAGTTTTTTGAAAATATAACTTCATAATTCCTACCTGTAACCAAACGGCTGCACACAAAAAGCCCATCCAACATATTATTGTACACAATCTGTTTCATACATGATCAAAACCAGCTTGCAAATATTGTTAGTGTGCCCATACTTGTCATTAAAGAATGACCTAGTAAAAACCAAGGAAATATTAGTTATACTAGCACTAGTTGTGAAATCTAACACAAATCCAACTCAAAATGGGTCCTCCCAAAAGTGGATAAAGAACAAAGACATGTGAACACCTTACCCTTTCAATTTATTACCTTAAATCCAACCTCTTCACTATAAATACAACCACCTTCAATATTATTGCATTACATGAAATTCATACATCATTAACATCCTTTCATACCTAAAAACAAATATCTTTCATGGCTACTCTTACTCTCCCCCTCCTAATTCTCTCAATCCTTTCTATCACCGCCTTTGCCGCCACGGCCGCCGCCACATCCACCAACAACTTCATCAAAACAAAGTGTAGCTCCACAGCCTACCCAACAGTTTGTGTACAATCTTTGTCATCCTATGCTAACAAGATCCAAAAAAGCCCACGTCAACTGGCCCAAACTGCCCTAATAGTGAGCCTAGCCAAGGCTCATTATGCTAAAGCCTATGTGGCCCACCTGGCCCATTCCAGTGGGCTTAGGCCCAAAGAATCTGGATCTGTTAAGGACTGTTTGGAGGTTATAGGGGACACAGTGGGCAAGCTTAGTAAGTCGGTCCATGAGTTCCAAACCGCGGTCCGAGGCCGGTCTAGAGACTTTTTATGGCATATGAGTAATGTACAAACTTGGGCTAGTGCTGCTCTTACTAATGAGAATACTTGTGTTGATGGGTTTAAGGACCAAAATGCAAATGGTGGGGTGCAAAATGCAATTGAGGTGCAATTAAAGGGTGTTATGCAGTGTACAAGTAATGCTCTTGCTTTGGTTAATCAGTTTGCTAATAGTAAGTACTTTCCTAATAACGTATGATCATAATTATGAATGATTATGTGACCTACTATACCAAAGAAATGTAATGAGATAATTTAAGAAAATTTTGGAGGAATAATTCCCCTTTTTTAGTTTGGTTTGAAATATGTTGTATACAATCATATATGATGTATAGTAAAAGGTAAAGTAACACTTTGTTATTGTATATTGATTATTTCTTGGATTCAATTAAACTCCTCTTTAATCTCTTTTAGTGATTCTCCCACAATCCCTATCGTAAATTTGTAATGTTTCGTAAGGTCAAAGTTTACGACTTTAAAAGACCTAATTATAAAATTAATAGGGTGAATCTAAATCCACCTTGCTTCGAAATTTGTACATAGGTCGGGGAGAAAATATTTAGTTTACAGCCAGGTAGATCGAACATACATCAATATCATTTAGACGCAATTAAGTATAGATTGGGATTGTAAACTTGATAATTGAATTTAACGTTGGAGGCATGCCAACCATATCATAGTATGACTTTCATGTAATTGTTGGCATGAGAACTAAATGCAGTACGTCCTCACCCAACTGCATTAACTCGATCTAGTTAGATAGATCCATGTCATTAGTGGATTAAGAACCATATGTTTGGGCCAATTGGCCCAAAAATCGTTTTTTTTTTTTTTTTTTTTTTTTTTTTTTTTTTTGGAAAAATAACACATACAAGTATACAACCTTCTTTTATTGATTTTATTATAAATTTTTATGTCTTTTAATGAATTTTGAATAATTATAATTCAATTACAATATTCAATGGTCAATTAAGATCAATTGTGACAAATAACTAATTAGAACTAAATATTTCAAATGATTTTAAGGAAAACAATTATACTATCTCCTTTTATTTTTAGTTACAATAAAGAGATATTATTTGTGAGTTATAGAAACATTTTTTTGTTACAACTAAAAGTTAAAGGTAGTACTGTAGAATTTTTCCTTCAATGCATCTCGAAGTAGTAGGGAAACTTCCAAGTGTAATTAGCGTATGAATGGCCGTCTTCAAATTAATATTCATAGAATTATAAATGGCTAAAAGTAGGTGTATCCTCTAAACCAGCCAAAATACACCTGGTTGAACTTCAAATACATGAAAATTAAAGTACATCAAATTGCCAAGTGTAAATTGGATTTCTTCGGACATAATTTTTGACAAAATCTACTTCAACTTCTCCTCTCAACCTTGAACATTTTTTTTCGTCTTTGATGTAATGATGTATGTTAGTATGTTACTATCATATTCAAGGAACATTCTACAAAATTCAACGGCCATAAAAATAGCTAAATTAAAGAAAAAAGATTGATTAAGCCATAATTAAATGCTAAAAATTAACAATCGTTTCAGTAAATCACATTTTCCAAAAAAAAATAAATAAAAAAATTGTCTAGAAGGAATAATTTTTATTACAAGTTCCACTTACGCAAAAGCACTAGATAATCAATTTCCTCTATTTACTTGAACAGATAAAAAGTAAAAGTGGTGTTATTATTAGAATTGTCAATTAACTGAATTATTTTTAATTTTAAAAATAATTAACTTCATATATATTTGTATGAAACAATCATTAAAAGCATTAATTTACACTAATGTCAACAATCGACTAGTATAAAACATGTAGAATAATCTAGGCCAAAATATGATTAGAACATGATCAAAGGGTGACAAATTTTTTTAGTAGGGTCCAAAATTCAAGAAAAGAGCCATTAGGAGACTAGATTGAGATTTATTCCAAGCAATTAGGGGACCAATATTAAGACAAAACGTGTTAAAGAAAAACCAAGAGAAAATTCTAAAGCCACCAAAGTATATGTGGTTACCAATCTCCCATTGAATCACACCAAAGGCTCTCATTTTTACACCTAAAACATCACCCCTTCATACACTACAAAACCAAACCCAAAGTAACACCTTGGTTTTTCAAAAGAATCTAAACAAAGAATTTCCTAGACCACAACACAACATTAACTTCCTCTTTTTTATTTGTGTGTTAGAGCGTAACTTGGGCAAAGGAAATGGCAATGGCAACTTCTACAATCCCCGGGACCGGGTTCAAAGTACCTTCATTCGCCTCCGGTGAGAATTACGCCATGCTAATGAAATCGGTCTCGGTTCAAGCTCTAGTCCCCAGCCGGCCAACCCGAGCTCAGCCCATGATGAAGAATGTTAATGAAGGGAAAGGTATTTTTGCTCCTCTTGTGGTTGTGACTAGGAACATAGTTGGCAAGAAGAGGTTCAATCAACTTAGAGGCAAAGCTATTGCTCTTCATTCACAGGTACATCTACTTGTATGACTTATTCATGTGTACATTTATATGAATGTTTTAATCTAAATTTTAAGGAATTTGTGTAGGTTATCACAGAGTTTTGCAAGTCAATAGGAGCAGATTCCAAGCAAAGACAAGGTTTAATTCGATTGGCAAAGAAGAATGGAGAAAGATTGGGATTTCTTGCATGATTATATTGAAGATTGTATCAACCTTTGTAATGAAAATTTGTTTAGATATTGTCATTTGGGCATGTTGAGACCTTTGTGTAAAAGCTTATATACATTTCATGGTATAGATGTATTTTGTAGAATTAATAGTTGGAATTTTTATATTGCTTTTGCCAATTTTGATTGAACAAAAGAAGAATGATTTTCTCATATAGGTTGAGAAATGATCTAATAATCTTATTTTGGTGATTAAAAAAAAGATGAATTAGTGAATACTAATTAATTAATAATAATGATGTACTCCGTACTTACCAGTGAAATTCATTTTTTTAAAGGAATTTAGATGAAAAATGAGTGAATTGTACAAATACATCCATAGAGTATGATCTACCAACCATATCCCTCCAAGTGAGAAATCAGCCTCATGTTAATGAGCCAAATCTCAGCCACAAAGTGTGATTCGTCAATCAAATATCTTTCATGTACACCATCTTCATGGCTCCACCAGCATAACAAAAATAACTACACATCAGGCAGGTACTAACATAATATAACTACGTTGTGTGGTCGTTTGATTGTATGTAGGAAGTTATACTTCTTGAGTTTACAATTCTCGTGGAGTTATACTGAGCAAGTTGTTTGGCTAAACATAGAAACTCACGTGGAGTTATACTGAGCAAGTTGTTTGGTTAAACATAGCAAGGTGTTGCGCTCATGAAAACCAAACAACTCCTCAAACTACAACACCCTACAAGTTTTACTTTGTATTAGGATGTTTAATTATCAATAATTTGAAAATTCCGAATTGTTTGGTTCAGGTCTTTAGGAGTTCGATGTTGGATTTTGTATGTACTTTTAGAGTGGTTATTAGTTTCAGGTCAAAAGGCTTTAATTTGCATGACATTATCAGGCTCAATCAGTTTATAAACGAAACCGTTTGACAGCTTTAGTAATGAACCTTAGACTCATGCAGTTTGAAAGCCTCAGATAGTTTTCAGGTTTCTTGTTTGTATGATGCATTACCAAAGTGGTCAAAACCGACACATAACATGCATATGTCTTGAAATAGCTTCAATAATCAAACCTTGTAACTTTATCTAGGTACAAGGGCAACATTACACGAGTCTAAGATAGTTTTGTGAAACTGCATAAGCTTGAATTCTGTATGTATAACATATGCAAACTCATCAATAACCAGAAAAAGGGGTCAAAACTCACAAAAATTACAATTGTTAAAGTAACCTGGAAAACAGATTGGACGCTCATTTCCATCTGAGGCCTAAAAGGCTACAATAAACAGATAAAACAAACTGTAGTGCACAAAAAATTGAAGTCGAGCCTCTAAGCAAAACTGTCCATAGAGAAGCGATCAACATGAAATGGGGTCTTACACACTGTATCTGCCTCTGTTAGATTTATTATCCTTTTTGGCATCATCCTGATACATTTGAAAATTAAAAGATTAGTATGTGATCCATTTAATGTACAACGTGAACAAAAAGCAGATATACAAGTACAGAGTAATACTTACATGAAAGCTGTAGTTAATTTTGTCTGTAACATCAATAATATCTTTCCACTTCCTTCCAATGCCCATCTGTTACATTATAAACCAAAACCATGAATACTTCAATTAGAGCAAATAGAACAGAGATGGAAATATAATTTAGTCTCAACATCCTATAGTCAAATTATTTGTACTACCACCACCCCCCCCCCCCCCCCCAAAAAAAAAAAAAAAAGGCATACACAGCACGGGCTTGAAAGTAATGTATAACTGCATAAGACACAAGGCAATCACTGAAATTATCCTCTTACAATGGGTAGAAGGCTAGAGGCCAGAATTTGTGACTAGCAATAATAATACTCAATACATTCACAAGGTGAGCATTTACTGTGATATTTTGATGCAACAAATGACGGTTACAGATAAGATAGAAACCGTCTTGTATCATAGAGTTGGTAATTGGTGTAAAAAGGAAGGCCGAGTAACACAACTTACAGAAAGCCAAATTTTATATACTGGTATTTATCAAAAATGAAGTAAAGTTGAAGGGCGAACTTATGTAAATAAAAGCTAACAAGAACTCAAAGAGCTGCTAACTCGATGGCACCGAGAGGCCACAAACTCAACAAGAGATTGCAATGTCAAAGACTTTATGGCACCATAAATTCCATGATACCCCCATAACTCACCTTGTTTACTACTGAATTTAGGGGTGTACATATACAGGACCGGACCTGTTGATTCAGGTCTGGTCCCGGTCCTTGAAAATATGTGATTCCGATCCGGTCCGGTCTAAAACCGGGGTTTCAGGTCCAGACCGGAAAACCGGATTTTTTTTATATCTATATATAAATACTCTTAAACCCTAACCCCAGTCAGCACTATCTCATTTCTCCTCTTCTTCCTCTCCTCTCACGGCTCCCAGTCTCTCATTTTTATTTAAAAAATTCTTCGCTTCATCTTTCTTCCTCCTTTTGCAGAGATGTTTTCCCAACCTCTTTATCTTCCATTTCCCCTCTTTTTCATTTTCTTGCTTCCACTTTAATTTTATTTTTTTTGGGGTGAATTTTCTCAATTATATTCTAAATTACGGTATTCATTGTTCCACAAAACATTAACTATGAAATTTTTTCAATTATATTCTAAATTACAGTGTTCATTGTTAGGTGGTTCGATTTCCGGAAAAGGGTCGGTTGTTTACTTGTGTTTGCAAAGAGGTTATTCAGGTTGGAGCCATGGAGGAAGCCATGCAAATTCAGAGGTACAACTTATACAGTTTTTTGCTCCAGCGACCTCCGTACGCTTCGCCATCGCCGCCGTCATCACAAGCCCACCGGCGCTACACACCGTCAAGGTTTTTGAATTATAGATCTAGGTTTAATATAGTTTAAAATGTAGATCTAATTTTTTTTCAATATTTCTGATTATAATTAGTTTTTGATATAAATACTTCGTATATAATTGTAAGTTTAATTTATATTTCTTAGATGATTTCGAATTTTGTATAATTTTATTCTGATAATTTCGATTTCGAATTTTTTTTAATCCCTTGATTTAGAAGGTTAAGTTTCGGGATATGTAAATTTGGTTTGTTGATGATGTTTTTTGTAGAAACTTTGGCTTGAAGTGAATAAAGAAAAAAAAACGAAAAAAATATAAATTCAGGTCTGTTGAGGTCCAAACCCAGACCGGACCTGAATTTTCAGGTCTGACCCGGAACCGGACCTGCTGATTCAGGTCCGGTCTCTGGTCCTCAAAATTCATTGATTCAGGTCCGGTCCGGTTTTGGACCGGTGTACAGCCCTAACTGAATTTAGTCCAACTGCTCTTCCCTCAGATTCCTTTCTTTTTAGTAAACTTCTTCAAATTGTTGGACAGTATACCTTAATATAAAAATACTCCGTTCCTTCAAAATAATTATGCTTTTTATTTTTTTGGTGCATTCCTTTAAGTTGGTAATACTTCCTATCTCATCCATTTATGGTAATTGTAACCAACTTGAAGAAAGGGAGGGAGTGTATGGCAATGGGAAAATCTATCAATGCCTGAATGGAACATTATGGCACAATTACTGCATTGTTTACATTCACTTTCTCATCTTCCTATGAAAATTTGTAAACCAAGATAATATCAAAATAAACAAATAGCACACAACACATTGCTTCCCATCCCAATCCTAAGGAAATAATTGTAAGACCTCACAGCGAGGTAGCTCATAAACACTTGAAAATTGATTTTAAATCCTTTTGTATAAATATCATCATGTTACACAAATGATTGGACAATACAAAACCCCTGCACCTCCGGCGAACCAAGATGTATAGATATTTCCTAAATGCAAATTGTCATCATTAAACCTTTTCACTCCACTTAGGGATTCTTCCTCAGTACCTCATCAACAAGACCTTGCTAATATGGAGCTAGGCACGGGCGGATCCAGGATTTCCGAGATGGTGAGTCACCATCAATTATTGATCGCTTGTGAAGGTACAATTTTTTTTTCCCCGAACTAGTTCAAAATTAATTTCAATCCAAAAATTATATTACAACAAAATTAATTTCAATCCAAAAATAGGACACAAAAATCCATACTACAACCGAATAGTAATAAGTAAAAATTTCATCTTACAAGCCGAAAGTATTACAAATAACATATTAAATTGTACTATAAAACTACTCGTATTACTTAACTTTATGATTTTTTTTTAACTTAATTGAGAAGCTTTAGGGAAAAAAATTAAAAATTAGTTGCACACATAAAAAGATATAAATAGAAGCAAGAAAAGAAAAGGAAAAAAAAAAAAAAAAAAAAAACCCTTAAGAGACCTGTTATAAAGAAAACCGTTCCCTTTAATTATAAACAATCAAAGAGACCTGTTATATAGATGACAGGTCTCTTTGATATTGCTACTACACTTTCAGGGCTAGTTTCACGGTCAGTAGCTGTAGCAAAGAGACCGGTTATCTATAATAACCGGTCTCTTTGATTTATTTTTTAAACTGAACTTCAAAAAAAAAAATTTGGCTTGTGATGCACGTGCACCAGTGTGCACACACATAGATCCGCCAATGGAGCTAGGAGCTCTAAATTTGACCCGACCTCATTTTCCAACAAGCCCATGAAATGGATGTGGTTCCACCCACAGTCTTATGTTCCCTTCTAAGCGGCACACAGAGGAATCAAAACTGCTTTTCTTATAAGTTGCCAAAGATCCAGTCAGTGAAGGTTGAAATCCAAGCATGATGATAGATTTCCATCATTGATTACCCTATTATATTTAAATTACAGCCTATCTCAAAAAGACAAGATATTGATAGCCTACAGTTAAAAAAAAAAAAAAACCTATGACAGGCTACCCTTTAAAGGAAACTTTAAATTCTCTATCCAGAAAATTTCCACCTTGACCATATTGGTGAAGCCTTTCTTCAACTATCTACCAAGAACAAACCAAATTTACTATTCATACCCAGCCTCCTCTACTTTTCATCCTTCATTGAAAAACCCTGTCAATTTGAACATCTATCTAGAGGAACCCTTATACCACAGTTACATTTTTCATGCACCTATTTAAAAGACCTTCTCGATGCCTCTACATATTTAATGGGCATATAAAAGGCAAAAAACCAACTAAACAGCCAAGGCAAGATAGTATGCCATGCGTATGGACTA